CAGTATCGATCTCAATATCGATCTCACTATCGATCTCACTCAACAGGACACCACGGGACACAGGCGGGACATCACGCGGCACCAGCGGCCGGAAGAGCAACAGTTGGTCCGGCCACGGCCCAGCCACAGGAGGATTTCGGGACACCCGCGGGACACCGGCGGGACACCGCGCGGCACTGGCCGCCGGAGGAGCACCATTTGGTCTGGCCGCGGCCTAGCCACAGGAGGATTTCCGTTCGCTCGCCCACGCAGCTTCGCCTCGCCCGCACGCGCGCACAACACGCACGACACGAACCCGAAACCGACATCGATTTCCCGGTAGGGGGGTCTTCGTTTCACGTCGGACTCACCCCCCCAACCTCCGACATACATATACATATACATATACATATACATATACATATACATATACATATACATATACATATACATATACATATACACATATATACATATATACATATATACATATATACATATATACAAGACTGCATTGGCGCTTCGCGCCATGCACCTTGGTCCTTCAAACCTTGCATGTGGTGGCACTTGGCGCGATCCTCCGTTGCTTCTGAGCTTCGGCCGCTTCGCGCCCAGTCCCCATAGCCGTTCCTTATTCGCTTGCGCCCTCGCTTTGCAGGTCCACGCGCCACTCGGACGAGTATGCCGGGGTGTGGAGAGACAGCCAACATGCGGGCGATGTTCCGAATCACGGAAACTATAGGACATGTACAGAATCCCCAAGACCTGTACCGAATCCCAAGTTCACAACCGATTTTCTGGGAATTGGGTTGCGAACCCGGGATTTGAAACATTTGAATGTTTTGCGTGGGAAGCCGCTGTCCGGAAGACGGCGTGTGAAGTGCTCTCCGGTCTGTTCAGGGGTCCCCTCGGAGCTTTTTTTGACTTTCTGAAACTGTACTGGGCCGTTCTGGGGCCTTTTTGGGCGTGTGGGGAGAGGCGAGGGCTGTAGGGGCCTTTTTGGAGCGGTCTAGGGCCCTCCGGGGAAACCTTCTGGATAGGTTTTCCGTCGCCTCGGAGGTCTCCTGGGGCCGTCATGGGGCTCTGTGTGGGGCCTTTCGGGCCGCCATGGGGTCCCCTTGGAGGTCTCGTCGGCCGTCTTGGGGCGGTTTCGGGAGCTTTTGGGGCCATCATGGACGCGGCAAGGTCGAAGTTACGAATATGTCAAACATGAACATTTTCCGAAGGGAAATGAACAGATGTTTGCCTGTTGGGGGTCGTCTTCGAAGCTTTTGGGGCCGTCTTGGAGGCCTCTTGGGCCATCTTGAGGTCACGTCGGTCACTCTTGGAGCGCTCTTGTGCTGTCTTGGGGGTCTCTGGGACGTCTCCGATGACCTCCCTGATCGCCCGAGGTGTGCTGGGAAGGCCTGGCAAAACGCCCTGGGAGGCCCGGGGGGCCGCTTCGAGGCCCGTCAAGAGGGTCCCAAAGCCCCAGATCCCGGAAGTCCAGTTCTTTTTTTTGGTGTGGGTGAGAGGTTTTCCCCCCGCCCGGGCTTGTAAAAATATAGGAAGAGGAATATGAACATACACACATATATATATATATATTCTCATACGAACCTCTCCGAGGGAGTAGAGCTCAGAGGTGATTAATGCGTACGCGCCGCGTCGTTCGCGATTTTTCTAGCCGTTTCGCTAGCGACATCCTCGAAATTCTGAAAATCGGTGGCACCCCTTACACAGGTCGTGACGTCAGGGTCCAAAAACGCATGGGAATTTCAACATGTTCACATGAAACCTTCAAAAACACATTGTAATTTCAATGATTTTGACCCCGATTCTCAGAGAATGGCAGTTTCGCTTGAGACATCCTCCCAAAATCGAGCCCCGACGTACCTTCTGGTACCCCAGACCCCGCCTCGGAGCCTCCTGGGGGCCTCTTGGAACATCCTGGGGCCTCCTGGGGCTTTCTGTACATTCTGGTACCCCAGACCCCGCCTCGGAGCCTCCTGGGGGTCTCCTGGAACCTCCTGGGGCCTTCTGGGGCCTCCTGCGGCCTCCTGGAGCCTCTTGGGGCCTCCGGGAGCCTCCTGACACCTCCTGGGGCCTCCTGAGGCCGCCTGGGGCTTCCTGGGGCCTCCTGGAGCGTCAGAACTACATGCACACACAGAGACACAAATCACACCCAACCCATCACACGCTAAACAAACATAACACACACACAACACCTACAACGCACAGAAAACACGCACAACACAGATCACACATCACACTCACCCACACACCACTCACAATCCTGGGGCCTCCTGGAACCTCTTCCGGTATCCAAGTCGGGCCTCCTGAGGCTTCCTGGGGGGCCCTGGTACACACATCGCAAGGTGTGGCAACCGCACTTGCGCTCGAGTGCGACCTGGTTATTGCATTTCACTCCCAGCAGCTATCCTCCTCCTCTTCTCCTGCTTCAAACGCCCCTTATTTTTTTTGGTATGAGTCTGGGCATACACGTGCCACTGGTATATATATATATATATATATATATATATATATATAGAAAGCGCGCCAGTGGATCCCCCTGAATACACAAAAGGGGGGTGAGATCTTCGACCCTCTCCCCCCTCACCTCAAGGGGGGGTGGGTCCGAACCCCCCCTCCCCCCCCCCCTTGGTGGTGGAAAGGGGGGGGCTGGTTCCCCCCCCATCCCTCCCGTTTGCGCCGAACAAGGGGCTGGGGAGAGGGCCTCTCCCGCAAGGCGGGGGTCTGGCTTCGGGGTACTGAATAGTGAGTAGTGAGTAGAGAGTAGTGCGTAGTGAGTAGTGAGTAATGAATAGTGAGTAATGGGTAGATAGTAGCGAGTAGTGAGCAAGAAGGGCGTAGCAAGTATTGATTAGTGAGTCGCATAGGGCATTGTGAGTAGTGAGTTGTGAGGAGGGAGTAGTCAGTAGTGGGTAGCGAGTAGTGATTAGTGAGTAGTGGGTAGGGAGTAGTGAGTAGTGAGTGATGAATAGTGAGTCGTGAGAAAGGGAAAGTGGGTATTGAGTAGTGGGTAGTGGGTAGTGCGTAGGGAGTAGCGGGTAGTAAATAGTGAGTAGTGAGTTGTAAGTCGTGAGTAGTGAGTAGTACGTACTGAATAGCGAGTAGTGAGTAGCGACTAGTGACTAGTGACTAGTGAGTAGGGAGTAGGGAGTAGTGAGTGGTGAGTAGTGAGTAGTGCGTAGTGGGTACTGAATATTGCGTATTGGGCAGCGAGTGGCAAGTAGGGAGTAGCGAGTAGTGAGTAGCGAGTAGTGTGTAGGGAATGGGGATTGGCGAGTAACGAGCAGCGGCTAGTGAGTAGTGAGTTGTGGGCAGTGGTTTATGAGTAATGGACTGTGCGTACTCAATAGTGAGTAGTGGATCGTGGTTAGTGAGTAGTGCTTAGTGAATAGTGAGTAACGGGCAGTGAGTAGTGTTTAGTGAGTAGTGACTATTGAGTACTGGGTAGCTGTTTGGGGCTAGGGTTAAGGTTTGGGGTTAGGGTTAGGGGTTAAGGTGAGGATTAGTGTTGGGGTGGTAGGGGTCGGGTTCCGGAGCTCGGGGGCGCCGTGGCAAAAGGGGGGGGGGGGGGAGGGGCTCGATTTTGGCGGCGGCCCCCCCTTTTGAAAGGGGGGGGGTCCCCGACAACGGATCGGGAGGGGGGAGAGGGAGGGGCTTCACCGACGACGGATCGGGAAAGGGGGGGGGGGGCGGGTTCCCCGAACGGATCGGGGAACGGGGGGGGGAAGGGCGCCCCCCCCCCCCCCCCCCCCTCTGGGGGATCCAGCGGCGCGCCCTTATATATATATATATATATATATATATAATATATATATAAAAAATATATATATATATGTGTGTGTGTGTGTATGCAGGCCCAGACGACGAGGCTTCGACGAGGCGGCGACGGGGGCGGCGACGGCGACAACGTAGCCGCCAGACCAGCGGTGAGACCCAGACGACGGGCGGTGACGAGGTGGCGGCAGGGCGGCGACTGCGACAACATAGCCGCCAAACTGGCGGTCAGGCCTAGACGACGGGCGGCGACGGGGCGGCGACGGCGACAACATATCCATCATGCCAGCGGTCAGGCCCAAACGATGACGCGGCGACGCGGCGGCGACGAGGCGGCGACGGGGCGGCGACGACAACATCGTAGCCGCCAGACCGGCAGTGAGACCCTGACGACGGGCGGCGACGAGGCGGCGACAGGGCGGCGACTTCGACAACATAGCCGCCAAACCAGCGGTCAGGCCCAGACGACGGGCGGCGACAGGACGGCGACAGCGACATCATATCCACCAGGCCAGCGGTCAGGCCCAGACGACGACGCAGCGTCGAGGCGGCGACGAGGCGGCGACGGCAACAACGTAGACATTAGACCGGCGGTCAGGCCAAGCCGACGGGCGGCGACGAGGTGGCGACGGGGCGGCGACGACGTCAAAATAGCCGCCAGGCCAGCGATCAGGCCAGGTCCTTAAAACTGAAAGAAGAACCAATGCAAACACTGCTCGGGGAGACATAAACAAACTAACGAGTCGGCTCTGCAAGCTCTAAAAGATCACACGGGTCCTGAATTCTGAAGGGGTGAACCCCATGGGAAGCTATGGGCGAAAACAACGGCGGCCAGGTGCACACACTATCCAAACTCCCACTTGCAATGACAATTCATGCTTGTTCCTGATGTTGTCTCCACCGAATCCCTCGCAGACTTAATGTTGATACTACAGATGGTATTGACCGGCCCCGGGCCAAAATACATTTAAGATTCTTGCGAGGAAGCAATGCGAGAATCACCGTCGATAGCCCATGTACCACTAGAAACGTCACAATAATAGACATATCGCCAGGTTTGTGTCGTGGATGGCGATGAGCCCATTCAGCGTAAAGACGGGGGGTTCTCACACAGATGATTGCGGGGGAGAAAGAACATTTTGCGAAAACGATAAGAGCTTGTACATACATTCACTGTTGCTCTTTTAAATGCGCCACGCCAGCAGCTGGGTGTGAGACACGATCAAGAGCAAGGCGGCGAAGACAAATAAGGGAGAGGGTGAGGAGGAAAGGATGGGGAGAGTGAATGCATGGGCTCGCACAGGGATCCGACGCCGAGATTGCGCAACCTGTCAGTAGCCGCCACCGCCCCACTGGTTTGGGTATCCGCTCCACTGCTGCTGACCTGCCCCAATGTTGATAGCTCGCAAGGGGTAAGGTCCCCCCAAGCAAGAGTAAACGCAACATTGGTATAAACACTTCAAGGTGTCCCGAAGGGGCCGCACCAGCGCCGAGCTCGCATAGCTCAGCATCCCCGCCGTTGCAGAGAGCAGTTCTTGGACGCCTCGAACAAGACGACCGAGCAAGCAAGACGTGGCAGACAAGTTTGGGTTTCCGAGGCTCGTCCCGTGGGGTCGCTCGCCCCTCAACGCGGGGCGCGGGGGGTGGGGCGCCGGAGCGAACGACCCCCCCCCCAACGGTGGTCAGAAGCTCGCAGCAGACCGTTCGCCGTTCAAATGAGTTACAGGAGGGGCCGAGGGGGCGCAGGCGGAGGCGGAGGAGGGCGAAAGGTCTCCAGAGGCCCCCAGAGGCCCCCGTGGAGGTCCTCTGAAGCCCCTGGGGGTCCGCAGAAGTCTCCGAAGATCTCTGGAAGCATCCAGGGGCCTGCGGAAGGCCAAGACGGAAACAGAGCACCCGAACACGTCCAGACCATTTCCAAAGGGTCCTGCCGCCGTGAGCCCACTAGACGAGGAAGGGCAGAACCTCTGGAAGTCGTCAGAAACCTCCGGGGGTCACAGGAGACTTCCGGATTCCAAACCCAGGATCCTCCATCTTCGAAGAGGCCAAACAAGGAAGAAAGAAAGAAAGAAACCGACTCGGCCCTCGCTCCCGTGTAGCACCCAGGCCTTCTCGCCTTTTCAGGGCAAGCCACTCCGGCGGTGCCTTCACCGAGACGCACCGCAAGACGCAGTCTCGGGCTGCTGGGCTGCTGGTCGAGACGTGTACTCCAAACTATGCGACTCGTCGCCGTCATTGTCATCGTCATCGTGGTCGTCGCCTCCGCTGCCGCCGTCGCCGTCACCGTCACCGTCGCCCTCTGTTTCCTGGACGATTGCAGGATTTGTCCGCTGCTCTCTTTCCCTCCCTCCCTCTCCTCTTCGCCCTTCGCCTTCTTCTCGTGGGCCCCTTGGTGCTTGCTTGCTGGCGGCTGGTATGTCGCAACGTCATGGCGCGCTTTCTAGCTACGGTTCGACTTTGCTTTCGGGCAATAGGGTCGTCTGTTGCCCACCTGCTTACAGAAATGAGCCGTCTGCTCCTGCTGCTGGGCCTCGCATCCATTCATTAGCGCGCTTGCAGGGCCTCCAAGCAATGTCTTGCCCTATGGTCGAAGACAAGCGCCCAGCAGTGGTGGACGGGACTGCTACGCCAGCAAGAAGAGAATCTGATGATAATCTGAAGGAAGGATGAGTGAGGGGGGCGGGGATGAGCAGGATGGTCGAAGAAAAGGAAGGAGAAGGGAAGAGATGGAGAAAGAAGAGGAGAAGAGGTGAATGATGTGGAGGATGCGCCTGGCGCCCGTGTCAGCGCCACCGTCTTGACAAGACAGGGCGTTGCAGTCTGCCTTCCCCAAACCGAAGCACAATGGGGTCTTTTCTGTTGGCGCGCGCTCGTCCTGAACGTCAGCAGCAACACCTGGACGCCGATCCGAGAACTGCGACCCCTTCCTGCTTACCGCGCATGGAACATACAATCGAACCACACTACCAATCGATCGTCAACACCACCATTACCAGGATAGCCCAACCAGCGAGCTTGCATTGAGGGTGCCGCCCCCCCATCCAGATCGCCCCTCCTTAATATTGGCGTTGGGCAACCCCACAAAGGACGGTGCAACGCAGCAACATTGAAGAGGGGGGTTGAAGGGGTCTCTGCTGGGGGGCTCCGCGGTGCCCAACCCTTGCAGTGCTCAAAATGGCGACGGGGCGAGGCCAGGTCACTACCCACCAGCCATGCTAATCAACATTGCGCAAGGGTGTCAGGGGGTCTCGGGCTTCCAACTCCCATCCTGTATACCGTCCTTGGCGCGCTTGGAGTCGATCTCGCGTGAACCACTAGCCTTAGGTCGGGCATGACCCCCTACAGGCGGATCTTGGAGGAAACATGAAACATAGCCATATTCCAAAATGGTCAACAATAGTATAACAAGCGTCCCCAGACTATTTTTTTACTATTTTTGAATATTCCTCCTGTAGAGGGACACGCCCGACTTAACACTAGCCGCGACACCCAGAGGCTCCGCACCTCGCCTCCCAGCCAGCGAGGTGGCCGATGAGGCGGTCCACAAGGCAGCTGACGAGGCAGCCAGCCAGGCAGCCGACGAGGCAGCCGACGAGGCAGCCAACGAGGCACCCCACGAGGCTGCCAACGAGGCAGCCGACGAGGTAGCCAATTCGGATCTCACATCCTGTGTGCTACGAGCAAACAGACCTAGCTTGTGCACTGGTTCGATGTTACACGGCGATGCGGCCAAATCGGATCTCATATCTTGTGTGTGCACGAACAAACAAACCAAACTTGTGCACTGGTTCGATTTCATGCTCTATCTACGGTGTCAACATGCACTGGCAATACACCCGTGCGCTCAACTCATAAGCAAACATGCCGCTTACACACGGAATGCATTGAGGGAAGCCCGCGCGACCATATTGTTGGCCCCAGCCGTACTGCTGTTGCTGCCCCCAGGCTTGCTGCTGGTACATCTGCTGCGGGTACATCTGCTGCTGCGGCACCTCCCTCCCCTTCCTGAAACTCAAGGGGAGGGAACCCTCGACGTTTTTTTTTTTTTTTTTTTTTTTTTTTTTTTTTTATTAGGGAATCCTCTGCGCTGCTGGCTGACCGCCGACCCGTGCTCTCGCACACGCCGAAGGCCTCGCTGCGCCCAGCTTGCGAGGACACGGCTCCTGGGAGGTCTTCGTGGGCGCAACGACGACCAACTCAGAACACGTGAAGAAGCTATCGAACTGGATGGAGCCAGGTCGGTCCCAAATCAGAACTGAAGGCTGATACCTCATCCACTCTCCTGGCATCAGTCGCAGCCTCAAGACCGGGCTCGCAGAGCTGCGGAAGCAGAGGAGAGGAGAACGGTGGGGCGGGCAGTGAGGCTCGCGCCGTACCTGCACCTCCGAAGCCCTGATTGTTTCAATCGTTTAGATTTGCAATCTGGGGACTTTTTTGGAGCTACTCGCTCCACTCGTGCGTCGAAGCTGCGTCGAACGCACGTCGACCTGAGTCGAACCCGAGTCGAACCTGAGTCGAACTGGAGTCGAACAGATCCATTAGGAGGGCCCCAGAAAGGTCCCCCAAACGAACGTCGAAAATGGTTACGCGGAGCCTGAAACACTCAGCTCTCTCACGGGGGCTGGATCTTCCGCCCCAGGCAGTTTTCATTGATGGCGGCACGGGCCAGGGTGCCTGGCCAGAATGACTGAACGGTCACCTCTGGAACATCCTCTCCCCCTCGGAGTGGAGGAAAGGGAGGGGGGGAGGAGGGAAAAAGGGGAGGAGGGGGAGAAAACGGGAGGGAAGGGACGGGGGGGGGACGGAAGAGGAAGGAGGGGGAGGAGAGGGGGGGGGGAGCGAAGGACGGACCCCGAACGGCGGCGAGGGAGGGGTTTGAGCCAACCAGGCAATGTAGCAACATATAAATAGGACAGAGACCTCGTCACCCTGCGTAGACCCAATTGTCGCCGAGGCGGATCATCACCCCATGCGTCCCGAGGTGGTGGGAAGCGTTCGCGATAGGCCTGGGGGTGGAGTTTCTGCATTCTTTACCACGCTGTGACTCGTAAGAGTAGTCTGTGGTGGGTCAGCGTGAGGTCGAGCGCTGTGCCTGCGAGCCATGGCCGTGGCGGCACGACTGAAATCCGCCACACGGAATCGACGGTCTGTTCGTACCATTTTCCAGCTTTCCGTGGACTCCCGCCGAACGTGCAGGAAACGACTGGGTCAGTCGAGGGCGCAGATATCAGACGGCAGATCAGATCGAGCTTGAGTCTTTCGTACTAATGTGTCGCTGAAGCGCTCGAGGGGTTTGCGCGGTCTCCTGCCGTTGAGGGCGTCGTTCGTGTTTGTGCGGTCCTGGCCTCCGGCCATTTGGCGTACGTGGTAGAGCGTCGAGCCGTTGTGACTGCCCAGGGGTGAGCTGGGTGGTCTCTAAGCCGCGCAGCAGTTTTGACCTGCATACGGCATGGAAAACTTGCATTCTTCATGACGCGGTGCAGTCGCTGTGCAGCCAGAACGCATCCAATCGCTGCATTGTTTGGTAGCAGTTCCGGATGCGGGCGCATTTCCTTCCCGACATCATGTTGCTGTCTTGTGAGCAACCCAAATACTTCGCCTTCTCTGCGCAGGGAACATGAGTGTCATCTCGGTATTTCAGCTGGCTTGGGCGTCCGATGGCCATCCATTCACATTTAGTCTTCGTCAGGTTAAGACCGGATCGAGCGCTTTCTTTCTCGATTGCGTGCGACATGCGCGTGATCTGGGCTTTGTCGGAAGAAGCGCGCATCACGTCGTCTGCGAATTTCACAACATCAAGAAAGACTCCAGGCGGACGCCCTTCCGAAAGCGACGCGCCGCGCTTACTGCATATGAAAATGTCCTAAAGCAGCACGTTTATAGTAACGAGAAAGAGGTGCGATGCAGAGGGCACCCCTGGCGGCCCCCCGCATCTTGGCGGTGCAATTTGGAGTCGTAATTGTCCATGCTAACCTGGAATGTAGGGTTTCGATGCAAGGCGTTCACCACGTTGACGATTCTATCCGGCAGTTGCATGCGCTCGAGCGCACTGAAGATGGCTTCGTGCGTGACGCGGTCGAATGCTTTTCCCAGTCAAGGAACACGAGGTAACGCGGGGAACCCTCCTTGAAGTTGTGGGTACTGGCGCCTAGGTATACCATCTGTCTGACAATCTTGAGAGCTTGGGACGTGCTGCGCCGCGCCCGAGAACCAAACTGCGTCGGCTGCAGGGGATGATCGACGTGCTTACCGATGCGGTCCTTGACGGCACCCGCGATGAGTTTGCATGGCGAATTTAACAAGGAGTGTGGGCGGTAGTTGTCGAGATTTGCCGCGCTGCCTAAGTTTTTGAACAGAAACGCAACTCTGGCCGCCAGGATGTCTTCCAGGACGAACTCGTCTGACCACCACTGTTTCAGAAAATCTACGACGTTTTGGGGGTTGCAGTTGTCGAGCTCACGGATGAGGTCCATGGGCAGGCCGCCTGAGCCAGGCGCCTTTCGACGCTTCCATCGCTTGAGGAGCGATTTCAGCTCGAGCAACGCGATGGGGCCTACATCGACGGGCAAATCGCTGTCGTCGAGACGAGAGGATGCAAATTTCGGGCGGTACCTGTCTGGTTTCCTCCATTGCTTGGTTGCCAGATGGGTGGCTGCGGCCTCGGCCCGCTGATGGACCGGGAAGGGTTTGCCGTCGTCTCTCACGTGATATGACATGGGCTGGCAGCTGGTCTTGAGCTGTCGAATGCCCAGCCATCGCTGCCTGATGTCAAGCGTTGTCGACAGCGTGTCTTTGATGTGTTGTTTTTTGGCTAGTTTGATGTCCATGTGTATTTCTGTGCGCATAGCTTTGTACCTGGCGTGATCGCCCGTGCGCTTGGCTTCGGCGCGTTCCACGAGTTTCCTTTCTAGTGCTGGGGAGATGCTGAAGCCCTTGCGAACAATCCTCTCCTCCTGGAAGTGCTGCCTCGCGGACTCCAGAATTTGGTCTCTGAACACCCTGGCGGATGTTCCGTGGTCCGCGCTTGATTGCTCGCGGTTGTGTGCTTGCCGGGCCTCGTGGTCCGGGTCTTGCCGCTGCGGGGGCGGCTTGCGTCCAGCATGCCTCATTGCTTTAAGTCTGATTCGGGTGGTACACGCCAGCGGAACATGGTCCGATTCTGAGCCAGGAAGGGGGTCGGCCTCGCAGTTCAAGGTCTTGTTTTTTTCCTCTGCTGAGGGTCAGGACGTAATCGAGCAATCGAGCGTCTCGTACTTTGATGACCACGTCGTCCTCCGAGTCCTGCTCATCGGCCGCCCTCAGATCCCACTCGTATTCAGACGCATCAGAACCTTGGAACGCGTGCCTGATGCGCAGCGGGCGCCCGAGTTTGGTGGAGTCGGATTCCGCCATTTGGTACAGGGCGCCGTGGAAGACTCGGGCTGGCTTGCCGAGGTGCTTGGCGGTCTCCCCAGAGCAATTCACATAACCAAGAGCTGCAGATATTTGTTCCGGACGCGCTCAATGAGAGCCGACTTGAGCTCCCCCCTTGGCGTTGCTGTTCCAAGCCTCGATCAGAGCCTCGTCCCTTGGGACAAGCTGCCTGCCAATCAACTTCCGGAGATCCTTAGCATGGTCTACTGCTGCCTGGAGCTTTTTCGCCTCTGCATGAACCGTAAGGATGTCCATTGGTCCCGTCCGGCGGATGGCACGGTGGCTGGTCCTCTTTTCCTTCGCGGCCACGGTGTGGAGCTGGTCATGGGAATTAAGGCGCTTCTCCGCGGCTCTTAGGCGGCTGTCGAACTTGGAGAATTCCGCGGGTTTGTCTTTCCAGTGCTGACCCCCGTCTTCGTCGTGATCCCCTTCCATGTCGAGATCCAGGCCTTCCCAAAAGACTTGCCTTGGAGACTGGTGGTTCTTGCCATTCTGCAATGCCTTCATCGCCTCATCATCTATGGCGCCTTCCGCGATGGACGCCCTGACTTTGGACACGAAGGTTTGCACGTCGTCGAACTTACTCGTCTTGAGCAACTTGGCCTCTATGACCGATGCCCTTGCGGTCAATTGTTTCCGAGACTCCTGCGCCTCCTCCGAAGCCATACGGACAGAAGAAATGGTAAGCAACACCGGGAGACAACAATTACTGAAACATGGAATCGCGTATGTAGTGTAAGCACGGTAATGTGAAAGAAACTGGATGGAGGAGTGAGTACACAAGCTGAAAATTCAGTTTGCGAAGGTGTGTTTTATCGGAGCCTCCGTGCTGTATGTATATATTTTACATATATATATATATACATGTACATATAAATATATACACATATTTGTATGCACAGATATCCAGCTATGTAGAGCGAAAGAGAGATGACTAAATAAATAACGAAAACGAGAAAGACAGAGCGAGAGAAAGCGAGAGAGCGGAAGCGAGAGACAGAGAGAGAGAGAGAGAGAAAGAGAGAGAGAGAGAGAGAGAGAAAGAGAGAGATAGAGAGAGAGAGAGAGAGAAAGGGATAACGAGGGGTAGAAAACAAACAAAAGAGAGATAGAAAGAGAGAGAGAGAGAGAGGGAACGCTGGAGACCTGCCCGTCGAGCTAAGCTGGACCCAGGAGGAGAGGAGGAGATGGAAGAAAGATGATGAACACATGGGCGTGGAACTCGTGCTCGTGCATGGCAAGACCCAGCGTGACGTGCAGGAGGCCGCGGGTACCGTGACGGATGACAGCCAGCAGGATGTCGCCTGGGGGACCCGCGCGTGCCGCGGCGGTGCTCGAAGGACTCCGCCCTGGAGGCGGCGCTGGAGGGGGCGGGACGACGCCGCCCTTGGAGCCGCACGTGGTGGCCTCGCTCAGTGCCGCCCCCCTGCGCGCTTCCAGCGTGCCCGGGCGGACGGCCAGGCCCCTGTGCAGCGGGCGCGCCTGGCGGCCGCCCTTGGAGCCGCACGTGGTGGCCTCGCTCAGTGCCGCCCCCCTGCGCGCTGCCAGCGTGCCCAGGCGGACGGCCAGACCCCTCCTGTGCAGCGGGCGCGCCTGGCGGAGGAGCCGGCGCCCACAGGCCGCGACTGCCATCGGCGGAGCTGCGGGTGGGCGCGGGCGGGGTGCAGCAACTCGTGGAGCGCTGCGGACCCAGGCGCTGGGGTGAGAGGGGGTTGGAGCTCCCTCGTTCTCCTCTCCTCCCTCCCCCTTCTCCCTCCTCCTTCCTCCCTCCTCCTTCCTCCCTCTTTCTCCTCCTCCTCCTCCTCCTCCTCCCTCTCTCCCCCTCTCGTCTTTCCTCCTTCATCCTTTCTCCCTCTACCACCTCCCTCCCTCCCCCCTCCTCCTCCTCCTCCTCCTCCTCCTCCTCCTCCTCCTCCTCCATCGCCCTCTGACTAGCAGCGCCGCTCCGCGCGCTGTTGCCCCCCCCCTTCCACAAACCCGACTTCGGGAAGAAGGGAGGATCGCACGTGACTGGGACGACAGGCCGCCGCAGTCACGACAGCAAGAAAACATGGAGGATTGGGAGGGCGAAGCGAGGCTGGGGACTAGGAGGAGTAGCAAGAGGAGGGCGAGACCGGAGGATGGTCAGCTTGGACAAGGGCGAGAGGGGAGGGCGAAAGACACGCAGGAGGAGAAGGACCATAGCCTGCCCCAGATGCATTTAGCGATGCTGCAACACTCTTCCAGCCAACTCGCCGTCTCAACAATTTCTGGCACTGTTTGTTTTCGCTACGGGGAGCGCCTCCTTGAACGACGGACTCCGGATGGGCCTGCCATTCCGGCGAGAGCTCAGCTCTGCACAGGAACCGCCCCCGTCGTTCCAGCCATAGGCAATTCCCAAAAACGATAGGGCCATACAACTCAAGACATGCCCGTGCGGACCCCGTTGTGAAGAGGAGCCGCTCTCCATCTCTGGACATCGCGAGCCAGAGACCCGCCCGAGGTCCTGAAGATTCCCTGCGTTGCCGAACCTCCGCAAACAGAAACGGCCTTGACCGGCCCGCCGCTGGGGGCGGACCCACCCGTGCCCTGCAGTCCGGGAGCAAACTGGAGTGCGAGGGGAAAGAACAGCTCGTCGTCGCCGCGCCATCCCCCTCCTCCGCCGCTCCCCTCCTCCGACGATGGCGGCGACCGCAGGCAGGACGAGAGCGATGGAGGGGAGGGGAGCGAAGGGTGAATTCGGGAGGATGTGAAGGCAACCCTGCCCCCATTCCCCAGACGCGGCCTGCGCTGGGCCCTGTTGCCGCGCCTGGCGGGGCGAGCGCGCCGTCGGGTCACCGCTGCGTCGATCGGCTGCCACCGGCGTCGCCGTGCCCCCGCTCGACGGCATCACTGTCAAGACAGGAGCACGACGCGATCGCGCGCTGGCTTGCTTGGTATGCTCGGGCTGTCGTGATCGGGCGCGCGAGCGACTTACCAATACAACGCTGGCGCGGCTACAGATAGCGTGGGACCGATAAGGGGAGGACAATAGCAGCGGCTCAGGAAAAGCGGTGATGAAACGCAAGGAGCATTCCGCCACAAATCTGCACCTAGCTTACACTCGGACAAATGAGAATCACACCGTGGACACAATATACAAGAGGCACGCGTGCCAAATATCATACAATCACGGATGTGGAACACTGGGAGATGGAGGTGGCGCCAACCTGTGGCAGTTCTGGGGACGCGCGAGAGTGCTGCGACACGCTGAGCCATGGCGTGAAAAACTTGCTGTGTCCCTGTGAGCTAGTGGCGTCTCTGTGACTCTTCGGGGCCATGGTGCTATTGGGCGTCTCTAGTGTTTTGTGTGGGCCCGTCTGGGGCTCGTTTGGGCTGTCCTGGGGCGATCTTGAGCTGTCTTGGGGTCCTTTTTGGCCCACCGTGGGGATTCGGGGGGGGCCAGGGGCACGGCCGGAGTGGGGGGGGGGCGCGGTCGGGCGGGCGGTCTCAACGGGCGGGGGGGCCACGGGGCGGAAGGGGCGGGACACGGGGGGTGGCTGGGGAGAGGGGGGGGGGGGGGCACGGTGGGTCGGCGGGGCCATGGGGGGAGGGGGGAGGCACGGTCGATCGGTCGGTCGGATTTGGCCGACGGGGGCCACGGGGCGGAGGGAAGGGCACGGTCGGTCGGTCGGTCGCAATAAGCAGACGGGGGCCACGGGGCGGAGGGGCGCGGGGGGGAACACGGGGACGGGAGGGCACGGTCGGGCAAGGGGGGGCACGGTCGGTCGGTCGGTCGGAATATGAAGACGGGGGCCACGGGGCGGAGGGGGGGGCACCGTCGGTCGGTCGGTCGGAATACGCAGACGGGGGCCGCGGGGCGGAGGAGCGCAAAAGGGAGCACGGGGACGGGAAAGCACGGTCGGGCAAGGGGGGGGTGCACGGTCGGCCGGTCGGTCGGAATAAGCAGAAGGGGGCCACGGGGCGCACGGGGGGAGGCGCGGTCGGTCGGTCGGTCGGTCGGAGTAAGCAGACGGGGGCCACGGGGCTGACGGGGGGGGGTGCGGTCGGCCGGTCGGTCGGAATAAACAGACGGGGACCACAGGGCGGAAAAGGGGGTACGGTCGGCCGGTCGGTCGGAATGAGCAGACGGGGGCCACGGGTCGGAAGGGCGCGGGGGGTCGGTCGGAATAAGCAGACGGGGGCCACGGGGCGGCGCAAGAAGGACAATTACGCGAGGGGAGAGGGAAAAGGAGAGGCGAGACGGGCGGAGGGCAAACAAAAGGGGGGCACGGTCGGCCGGAAGAAGCGAAGGGGAGCACGGGGCAAAAGGAAAGGATGGGGCACGATCGGTCGGAATAAGCCAAGGGGGGGACACGGAGGACAAGGGGGCAGGGGCACGGTCGGTCGGAATAAGCCAGGGGGGGTGGCTCGTGGGGCGGAGGGCAATGAAGGCCACGGCACGGGGACAAGGCACAAGACAGGGAGATAGGACGGGGCACGGTCGGTCGGAATAAACCAGGGGGGGCGGGGGGGGGAGGGAAATGACCAGGGGAGGGGGGGCGGAGGACAAGGAGAGAAGGGGGCACGGTCGTCGGAATGAGCCAGGGCGGGGCACGGGACAAGGAGAGGGGAAAGGGAGCACGGTCGGTCGGAATAAGGAACAATGGGAACAAAGGGGGAAAGAACAAGTAGCGGCGGGGGGCGGAAGGCAAGGAGAGGAGGGGGGACGGTCGGCCGGAATAGGACAGGGGGGGGCACGGGACAAACACAATGGAGGGGGGCACGGCCGGTCGGAATAAGCCAGGGGGGGCACAGAGGACGGGGGGTCGGGGGCACGGTCGGTAGAAAGAAGCCAAGGGGGGGGGCTCGTGGGGTGAGGCACACGACCGGTAGGAATAAACCAATGGAACATGCACTGAAAACGGGGGGGCAGGGGCACGGTCGGTCGGAATAAGCCAGGGGGGGGCTCGTGGGGGGGAAGGCAAAGGGGCCACGGGACGGGGAGAAAAGCACGGGACAAGGAGAGGGGAGGGGGCACGGTCGGTCGGAATAATTAAGCGAGGGGGGGGGCGACGGGGGAGGGAAATGAGAAGGGGAGGAGGCGGAAGACAGGGAGAGGAGGGGGGCACGGTCGGTCGGAGTAAGCCAGGGGGGGCAGGCCACGGGACGGGGAGAAGGCGCGGGACAAAGACAAAAGAAGAGGGCACGGTCGGTCGGAAAAACCCAGGAATGGGGGGGCACAGAGGACAGGAAGGCGGTGGCACGGTCGGTCGGAATAAGGAAGGAGGGGCGGGGGGGGGAGGCAAAAAAGCCACGGGACGGGGAGAGGGCACGGCGGGACAAGGAGAAGGGAAAGGGAGCACGGTCGGCCGGAATACGCCAGGGGCAGCGAGGGAAAGGGACATGGGGAGGGGAGGGGGGGGCGGAGGGCAGGGAGAGGAGGGGGGGCACGGTCGGTCGAAATAAGCCGGGGGAGGGGGGCACGGGACGAGCAGAGGGGAGGGTGCACAGTCGGTCGGAATAAGTCGGGGAGGGGGCACGGAGGACAGGGGGGCGGGGGCACGGCGGGTCGGAATAGGCCGGGGGGGGGCTCGTGGGGGGAGGGCAAAAAGGCCACGGGACGGGGACAGCCTTCGACAGATCGACACGCACAGATGGTCGGAGCAGCGCGCAGACAGCAGACATCCCGGCACGCAGACCAGCAGACGGAGGGGAGGACACACCCCAGGGCACGTGTCTTCGCACATCCCAGGGCACACCGAGCACATCCCAGGCCCGCATTCCGGCAAGCGGAGACGTCGGAGCAGCGCGCAGACAGCATAATTACATCCCAGCACTCACTCCAGCAGACGGAAGCAGGACACACCCCGGCGCTCGCATGCCAGGACACGTGTCTTCGCTCGTCCCGGGGCACGTCCAGCACACTCCAGGCACGCAGTCCGGTCCAGCACGTTCCAGGCGCTCACTCCAGCAGACGGAGACAGGACGCACCCCGGCGTTCACAGTCCAGGGCACATCTCTTTTTACAGCCCAGGGCATGTCCAGCACATTCCAGGCACGGGCGGTCGAAATAGTGCAGTCCGAGATCACACCGGTAGGCATGATACTTAAACAGCTTGCTATGCCACGACGTACTCGGAGCTACTCCAACGACAACTACGCTCATCCAACGACAGCTTATATACCCTAATGCATGCCCCGAGCTCCGACACGCCAACCCAACAAGAGCTACGCCAACTTAGGGCATGCCAAACACAACAACGCCACGCCAAGCCAAGCGGAACTCAAGCTTCTCGGGACCATGCCAAGCCGATCCAGACCAAGCTTGACAGAACCTCCATCTACATGTGCAGCTGACTATGCGCGTGCTGATAAATCTCAGTTCTGCGGTTGATGGTGTTTCCGTGCGCGCATACAAACCTTTAAGACCATCATAAGATCAAGCTGCGTGTCTATAGCTTGAGGCAGTCGAACTCAGCCACACCGATCTTCAAATACGCCAGGCCAAACAAACCTGAGCTGGGATAGGACAAAACCAACAACGCTACGATATGAAGAACATAACGAGGTATGCACCGGCACATTAAGCCCACGTGCTAAACGCGTACGCATATTGTCAAGTTGGTCAATAAAGAGATGCGCAATCTCATGACACGACGATTAAAACTCATGATACACCCGCGATCATACATTACATTCACCTACGGGTAGAGTTCTTCGTGATACATGCACATGTTGTTATTGCTTGTATGTGTATGCGTGTATACATACATATGACATGTACACACAACGCACATACAATCAATAATGATACACACGGCAATCAATCACTCAATAACAACCCTCACGATAACTGAAATACAGAACCGCGAGAATCTTGGGCGTCGTGCCAAGTCGTGTCTAGCAAATAGCAGAACGGACTCCACCTACAAGGTGAAAAACAAACGACACATCAAACAATCCACGGTCCTTTAATACGTATGGTGGCGAGGTTGCGATACCATCTCTGATACTGGTTCTATCTCGCCGTCATACATCATGAGACGCCGATCCCATACCCAGCCTCACATCACACTTACCACGCGCCAGTCACTTACGACACCCTATGTCTGTCTCGTTGGCCCTTGCAGACTCTGTGTTGTCCAGGGTGAATCCATCTGGGATCATTGCGCAGTGCACCTTGCCCATATTAATATTGCCATTTGTTGCATATCTCTCTCCAGGCGAATGTTAAGTCATGACCTGTTCAAAACTCTTTACGCGGCGCTGCTGAATTATTTCCCCGTTATTTCGCTCACTAATTAGCAGTCGTTGTCTTCTGCCTTGTCCTCGTTGCAAATTGGCCCGGCAACTCTAGCCAATACTCCTTACCTTTGCACTACCTTTGCCAACGGTTCCTCCACAATGAACTCCATTATCCTGAACCACGGAATATTACTTGCCTAACTTCCATTATTTCCTCATGGCGCTGACGATGAAATACAGCACGGCTTTGTAACCCTAGGTCGTGGTTTCGCATAGCCCTATCCATTAAGCACGTGCCCCGAAACGCATGTGGAGCTGGCTGGAATGGGAATCCTAGGTGGCGTTCCCGTCGTCTCTGTCGAAGCAACTGTTGCCACCGCCAAATGGTGACCTCAGATGTCGTGAACGCGATGGTGTCCGACTCGTCAACCCCACCATGACAAGACATCCTCTGAATGGTATGCCGTCCGCAACAAATGCCTGCACCTATGCATTCTGGACTCGATCTTACTCCTTTTTTCGCAGTGCACCGAGCTGTGGGAAATGGGAGCCTCCCAGGTGCGAGAAAAGCCGCGGGCGACGAGGGTGGTGACAGTCGTTGTCACCGACGTCCGCCGCCGTCGTACTAAACACGAGGCGAGGGAGGAGAGTCGCACCGTGACGCCAGGCGGGAGCTCCCACGCGGTCTCCTGCGTGCGCTCGTTGTGAAAATAAACTTGGCCTGCCCCAGGGGGGGGGCCCAGGGGGGAGTCCTTTTCTTCCTCCTGCTCCTCCTTCTCCTCCCTCTCCTCCTCCTCCTCCTCCTCCTCCTCCTTATCTCCTCCTCCTTCTCCTCCTCCTCCTCCTTCTCCTCCTGCTCCCCCTCCTGATCGTCGTCGATGTCTTTCAGGGTCGGCGGCACCGGCCGTCAGGCCTTCACAATAAACTTGGCCTGCCCGCCCTCTTTGAGCTTGACTTTTCTGAACGCCTGGGTTGCCACAACGAGGTGCAGTCAGCGACACACAGTTCCGAGAGGCTTTGAGAAGGTCTCCAGCTTCCTCCAACGAAGGGGACGGAGCACAAGAGGGGGGAGGACCTCATCAGCAGGGAGAGGAGATAGAAACCGACTATGGAAGCAGCGAGGAGGGACGATACATTGCACCACTTGCTATGGTGGTAGGATGCGCCAACGCTCCAGGAGAATTTGTCCATCTGGTGGATTCTGCGACACGGAACCTGCGGCAATAAGAACGCAGCCGCGTAGCCTGGCGGCCACGCGAAAGCAGCCCAGTCAACGAATGCCCATGCAATGTACTTCTAGTCCAGCCTGTTGCGCGACGGATCCGACACTGTGTGGTCTAAAAGAACAAGCAAACGATTTGCAAATCACTTCAGACGACCACAAAGCACTGCGGGGGTCCACTCCAGACGACCACAAAGCACTTTGTCGCTCTGATCCGAACTTATTCTCTCTCGATGGGGTGGGCCCGACATGTTTTCCACGGACCCAGACACGATTCCTGATCAATGCTGAACTCCCACAGCGCAATGTTTTGGCCTACTCCAGACGCCCCCCCTGAAAAGAAGGCTCGCACTGATTCAAAAGCCTGTGTTCGCATACTTTGGGGATGAACCGAAACTTCTGTGGCAGATCTAGACATGCAGTTTCGAATGCGGTGGGGGCATTGGATAAGGAACCCTTAGACAAGGAATTCAGGGTCTGGAGGCCGGTGGAACTCCAAACGAAGCTTGGCCATGGATATCACCGCCGCCCTCGTCGGATAAGGAACCCTCCAGGGTCTGAAGCCCCCTGGGCACATTGTTTAACGAACGCCCCCACCGTATTCAACTCCGAAAAAAATGTGTTTTCTGAATCCTTTCCAGGCCCAGAGGCCCCCGCAAATCTCATTGCAAAAAAGTTCTGGCATTTTGTTGCTGTTGTTGATGTTGTTGTTGAACTCTCACTACTGAAGAATAATTATTGTTGATCCCCCCTCCTGTGCACATTGTATTTTTCAATTGAAATGCCCCTCCCGGCGCTCGCACTTCGTTTTTTTATCAGGGAACAACTTCCTCCTCAAACTTCGTTGTTGGCCCCCGGGTTACAACAACAACGGCTCCCGCCTGAGACGTCCTCACAATTTAGCCCAGACCCCCGCTCCCGCCCGGGACTTCCTTGCATTTTATTCAGGAATCGCGCTCTCGCTTCGGACTTCCTTTCAATTTATTCAGGAATCGCTCTCTCGGCGCTCTGGAGTCGCGCTCTCGCTGGAGACTTGCTTGCAATTTACTGAAGAATAGAGCCCTTGCGTTGGAATTCCCCGCACTTTGCTCAAGCGCCGCGCTCCCAACACTCAGGCACCCAGGAGTCGCGCTCACGCTGATGACTCCCTCACATATTACTTGGGAATCGGGATCTCGCTGCCCTTCGTGGCCCCGTTGCCTCGCTGTCCTTCGTGACCCCGTTGCAGCGTTTCGTGGCCCCGTCGCTGCCCTTCGTGGCCCCGTTGCTGCCCTCAGTGGCTCCCTCGCTTTGTTTCGTGGCCCCGTTGCAGCCCTTCGTGGCCCCCTCGCTGCCTTTCGTGGCCATGTTGCGCTCCTTCGTGGCCCCCTCGCTGCCCTTCGTGGCCCCGTTGCAGCCCCTCGTTGCCCCCTCGCTGCCCTTCGTGGCCCCGTTGCACCCCTTCGTGGCCCCCTCGCTGCCCTTCGTGGCCCCGTTGCACCCGTTCGTGGCCCCATATCTGTATGCCCTTCGTGGCCCCCGCTCGTTCGCGCCCGTCGTGGCCCCATACGCGTGCCCTTCGTGGCCCCGCTGTCGCCCTTCGTGACCCCCTCGCTGCCCTTCGTGGCCCCGTTGCTGCCGTCAGTGGCCCCGTCCTTGCCCTCCGCGGCCCAATATACGCATGCCCTTCGTGGCACCCGCTCGTTCGCGCCCGTCGTGGCCCCATATGCATGCCCTGCGTGGCCCCGCTGTCGCCATTTGTTGCCCCCTCGCTGTCCCACGTGGCCTAGTTGCTACCCTCAGTGGCCCCGTCGTTGCCTTCTGTGGCCCCGCATTATCTGCCCCTCGTGGCCCCCGCTCGTTCGCGCCCTTCGTGGCCCCATACGCACTCCCTTCGTGTCCCCGCTGTCGCCCTTCATGGCCTACTTTTTGCCCTTCGTGGCCCTGCTGTCGTTCTCTCTCTCGCTTTCGCTTTCGGTCGTCGTCGTCGTCGTCGTCGTCGTCGTCGTCGTCGTCGTCGTCGTCGTCGTCGTGGTCGGCGTCGTCGTCGTCGTCGACGTCGTCGTCGTCGTCGTCGTGGTCGGTCCCCTGTCCGTCCCTGTTGGGGTCAAGTTGCCGCCGATCAGCGCTGCCGCTGGCCAGGCCGACGATCCGCGGCTGCCCCGCCGCTTGCCGGGGCCCGGCCTGCAGGGAAGAAAAGTATACCACTCAAAAGGGGTACGGTCGAAGACGAAGAGGGCGGGTATCGAAGGTTTGGGATATACGCGTTAACGGACTCTCGAGCAGAGAAGAGCGATCAGTCTTAAACTGATTGTTGTTGTTGTAGTTGTTGTTGTTCTGGGGGCGTCGTCGAGACAAGCTGTTGGAAAACTCTTGGAACTAGCGCTCGAACGCGTCGTGAAGAAACTCGAAGCGGTTTGCCCGTTGGTGGGGTGGGCGCTCCTCTGCCGGAAGTTGCAATGTTCGAGCTGCCGTCCCAAAGCGGATCCCCCGTCCAGAAGACGCAAACTGCCATGGTGCTTACACTGTGCTCGGCCCCTGGGATCAAGCAGGATGTGGCGCCACGTCTACGCTGGCCATCGCTGCCCCCCTACCCAACCCCCCCGTCCATTCCCCCCCGGGCCAGGCGCACGCGTGGGACGGGACTCGCGGGCGGTACGCCCTTGCTCATGTGGAGAACACACTCAGAACGTCGCAAAATGGCACGCTGTCCCAATATGTTTCTAGAGCCAAGCTCGGAAATTATCACATGATATAAAAAACAACGATTATCCTGGTCCGGAAACTCGACATCTGAACCCACCAATCTGTACCATACGTGCTGTGCTTGCCGCGCCATGACGTGCCGCGTCCTGACAATTGATGCCCGTTCATTGCCTGCAGAATGAGATTGGCAGTCGTGCAGGAGAACATGTTCACAGATGATGTGTACGTGGGCCCACGGGTGTCCCTGGATCCCAGCAGCGCAATGCACCCAATGGGCTTCTCGTGGGAGGGCTTAGTTCGGGCCGGCCGGACTGCTGGTTTGGGGTGGATCTTCGCCAGCGCCTCAAACAAATGCTACCTCCACCGCTTGTACACAATCCGAAGAAGCACGGCGCCGGCCGCGGGCGGTACTCTCCGCTTCGACGATCCACATTGCGGGCAACCGATACCACTCGTGCTCAGGGGCACTCCAAGTTGGACACACGCGCTGCGGCGGGCCCTCTGGCGCCGGTTATCTGGTCCTGGGATATGCACTGTCTTGCTCTCTTTCTTCTCTCTTTTTCTGTCTGCCTCTCTCACCCATCTCTACGTGCGCTTACACGGGGGGTAGTCTAGGTTATGACCATAAGACGTCAAGCTTTGGACAACCCCGCCCTCCCCGGTATAATCTTAGCGACAGATTTTTGGTCAGGGAGCGGTCCGAATCCGATGGGTTCGCGCCCCGTAACAATACTTTATGTTTACACACTTTAAAAAGGGTGATAATGACTCTGTCCAATTTTTTATATAGAAAAAACCGGAAACCACTCAAACTTGGACCCGCCCACAGCGCATTCACTCCGCATAGGCCAGTTGAGATTGTCAGTGCCATCTTCGTCATCGTCGTTGGCATGCCGATGTCAACGAGGTGCTCCGTTGTATTCGCTGTCGCTTTGACGCAGTGTGGCCCTGGGAATCCTAATCCGACGCTGTCGCTCTTGCCTCGCTGGCCGGCCATCCCAGGGAGCCTACGAGGGCCCGCGGCTCCGCATATGGGCACCTCTGTATCCTACTCGGTCGCCCGCGGCACGCGGGACCAACTGTGCAATGCTCCGCAGATGGTCAAACATTTTACCACTTGGCAAGTGTGTGCCTACATGCATATACGAATATATGCACCATGCACTGTGCGTTTGCTGGCATGCGGTGACACATGAAGCGTCTTCATTCAACTAATCTAGTAGACCGCATGTCCTATCCAAGCCTGACAATTCGCTGATGCATCTGATTCTTGCTTGTTGCTTCACTGGACAACCGTGTACTTGCGTGATGGTGCTGGTTATTTGGAAACCGCTCCTCACCACGACGGGTCATAACATTCTCTTGTGTGTTGTGCGCTACTGTTTGGCGCAGGCCACGGTGTGCTGTTGATTGCACTGCGCTGCAACTCGCACTGCGTCCTTTCTTGTGGACGCTGCTGCGATGTGCTCGCACGGCATTGTTATACTTTAACACTTTTTCCCCAACCATCCTGTGGTGTTGGGTCCTCGGTATGAAAAGACATCGCACTGCGTTCCTTCCTCCCGCTCCCCCCCTCCCGTCATCAGCAGCATCGTCACTATCATCACCATTGCCCATCATCCATCCGCATCATCATCTGCAATACCATCGTCACCCACATCCTCCTCCTCATCATCATCGTCGTCCTAAACGCCCATGTCGGCACACCCCTCGCACGCTTCGTGGCCCCCCCAGGAGCTCCAACTAAGGTCACACAGGCGCAGCTCGCATGGCGGCGCCGCCACATTTTGGCACACCCCTCATACGTTTCGTAACCCCACACGGAGTTCCAACTAAGGTCCGAATGGCGCAGCTCGCATGGCGGCGCCGCCCAATTGTAGCACACCCCTCACACGCTTCTTGGCCCCATAGGGAACTCCGACTGAGGTCCCAGTGGCGCAGCTCGCATGGCGGCGCCGCCCCATTAAAAACACCCCTCGCCCGCTTCGTGGCCTCATAAGGAGCTCCAACGAAGGTCCCAGTGGCGCAGCTCGCGTGGCGGCGCCGCCCCATGTTGCCCCCCCCCCCCCCCCCCCCTCACACGTTTCGTAGCCCCATACGGAGCTCCAACTACGGTCCCAATGGCGCAGCTCGCATGGCGGCGCCGCCCCATTTTAACACACCCCTCGCACGCTTCGTGGCCTCATAGGGAATCAACTAAGGTCCAATTGGCGCCGCTCGCATGGCGGCGCCGCCCCAATTTGGCACACCTCTCACACGCTTCGTGGCCCCATAGGGAGCTCCAACGAAGGTCCCAATGGCTCAGCTCGCATGGCGGCGCCGCCCCATTTTGGCACACCCCTCGCACGCTTCGTGGCCCCATAGGGAGCTCCAACTACGGTCCTAATGCTGCAGTTCGCATGGCGGCGCCTCCTCATTTTGGCATGCCCCTCACACGTCTCGCGGCCCCCATAGGGAGCTCCAACTAAGGTTCCAGTGCCGCATGGCGGCGCCGCCCTATTTCTCTCGGTCCCGTGGACTCTCGCCCTGCCGTCGGCTGTCCGGCGCGCTGCTCCCTCGGCCGACATCGCCCAAGCGTGATCCTGGACTGCGGCCGCCACGAGGTGGGGAATGGCAAGAAGGAGGGCGAGGACTGTTGGCTGGAGCTCTACGCGCTGCTCTCGCGCGCCACGCGCCACGAGGACCTCCGGCTCATGCGGGCGCCGCGCATCGAGTTCTTCCTGGCAGGGCCGCGGGGGTGCTTGCGGAAGCAGCTGGGGCAAATTGCTGCGCGCACGAAACGGCGCAGAAGGGGGGCGACGGCCCTCGCCAGGGAGCTGGGATTCACCGATTTTATCTGCGAGGCTTGACCTGGGGAGTGACCCGCCCGAGGCTCGCCGTCTCTCGGCGGTCTGACTGTTTGGCCTCGCGCCGCGGGCGACCCGTGCGCGTCGCCGGGGCCCTCTCGGGCCGACCCGCGCGCGTCGCGGGGGTTCCGCGCTGCGCTCTGCCCTGCGCCTCGCTCGCCCCCGTCGTCGCTCTGCCCGGCGGCCAGAAGAGACTTGCCCTCCATCAGCCGGCCTGCTAGCTCTCTCTGCTCTGCGCGGCGGGCGGCCCGCGCGCGTCGCCGGGGCCCCTTCGGGGCGACCGGCGCGCGTCGCGGGGGCCCCGTGCGGCGCCGCGCCCGCGGCCTGGGACATGGGTGCGTTTTTTTGTTTCTCTTCTTCTTCTTCTTCTTCTTCTTCTTCTTCTTATGCTTCTTCTTTTTTGGGGGGTCCGGGGGGGGGGGGGGGCGCCGTTGCCCGACCGGTGCGACAATTCAGCCGCTCAGCGCGACCTGCTCGCCGCCTCTCGCGCCGCAGCGCGGGCGCGGGTGGCGCCCGAGCACGGCGGCGGAGCGGCGGAGGGCGCGGCGTGGCGCCCGAGCATGGAGAGCGCCGCGCCCAGCGACCTCCAGAAAAACGGTGGCCTCTCGGCGCCCAACCTGCTCGTCTGGCTCAGCGCGCGAAACTGGGGCGTTGCGCAGCGGGCGCGGGCCGCGGCGCAAGCGGGGCAGCACCTGCGGCCCGCGGCGAACACTCCCTGGCTTGCGGATTGCCGCCAACTGCCGAATCTCGTGCTGCGAGTAGGCCCCGCGCGCGAGGTAGAACAGCAGTGGGGCCTTTTCGTCGCCAACTTGCGTGCCAGCGAGCTCGCGGCCATTCTCAGGAGCGGAAACGAGCATCTCGGCCACGCGCTCTAGAAGCCTCCGCAGCCCATCTCGGGTCTGTCCTGAATAACGACCAAGACACTGAGCGCAACGGTAGCCCCGCAGCGCGGGCTCCCAGGAATGCCGAGGCGTCGCCTCGTCGAACGTCTTCCTAGAACGGGGTCCCTCAGGGGGCCTCTGGTGGGGGGCCCTTGGGAAATGCGGCAAAACAGCAGCGGCCGCTCTGGCCGCCCATTCTACCTGAGACACGACATGCTGGAGCTGCTTACATTCAGCCTCAGACGGCCTAGGGTGGACCTCGATCGCCGTCTTGGCCTCGAGATCCACCCTCCAGTTAGCCTGACCTATGCTGCGCTTGGGCTGCGGCAGTGTATCTATATCCTCCAGCTTCCTATGAGCAGGCGTGTTAACAGCTGGGGCATACTTCTGATTCTTCGTATGCAACCGGGGGCCTCTCCGAAGTCCCCCATGGCGTCGTTCGGGGGCCAACTGTTCCAACGGGATCTTATTGTGGAGCTAGCCGCATGCCTGCAATCGCTGTAGCACGTCGCAGAAACACCAGGCACGAAAATGGGCAGCAAAGCAAGCAGCAGCTGTTCTGCGGCCTGGCTCGTATGCGGGGGCGATGGCTAAGCAGATCCTCTCGCAATGTACGCATGTTCTCCCTGCTCGTTGAAAAAGACCGAAGAGCACGCCGCCATAGACAACGCGCGGATGGTATGAGGTATACAAGACCCACCCCCCGCCTGCAACAGTCCTTTGGTGTCGAATTGACTCCACTGAACCTCGCTCCCATTTTCACCCTAAAGTCCGGGCGCGTGCTCATCGCTAACGGCAGGCCAACAGCTAATGGGATGCTCCATCCTCGGGCCTCCATGCGTGTGAAAATCGCCAGCTAGCGCACTCTGACACAACTGGCTGGGCAGCTTGAGCGAGCCCCTCGCCTTGACCACCTCTCCATGCTGGCACTGCTACAAGCTGTGTCCTACAGCACCAGGCTTCTGACGCAATGGGCACAGGCCAAGACCTGAGTCGCCAACCTTAACCGCTCGGCCCTCGGTCCACGAGCCTTCGCAGAAAGCACACCTGACCAGGCACTGTCTTTGAACAGTGAGGCCTATCCCCTTGGTCCGAGGGTCCACGAGCCAACGAGCGGGCTCCACGCAAACTCTGGCCCCTGGGCCCCCATCAAATTTGGCCGCCAGGGCTCCCATGAAAACGCTGGGCGCCGCTTTCCAACAAACTTGCAGCCATGGATGGGGTGGCGTACACAAGGCTTTGCTCGATTCCCTCATCGCCGACCCAATCAAGGGGCGATTCAGCGCAACATTCGACCTAAGGAACAGTGCTTCCTGCTGACGGGTCCCCGTGATTAGCCCACCTGAGTCCCCCCCTGTCCACCGCCCTCCACATCGCGCGCAGGTCCATGACCGAGAAGTGCGCGGCGCTGGGCCTCGTGACAGCGATCCGCGCCGTCTGGGCCCATGCAACTGCTGGGGCGACCGTGCTCCTCAAAAGAGGATCTCCAACGAGCGCGATCTTTGCCCGCGTAGATGCACCTGCGTGCCGAGGGGTGTGAAAAGAAAGGAGCTCGCTCCGCGCGCTTCAGTTCTCCGCCCGTCACGCCGACGATCGCGTCTCCGAAGGTGAGGGCTGGTTTCGCCCCCGCAGTGTAAACCCTGCCAATCCTACCTCGGTTCCTGGGGAGGGCCCTCTGGCATCGCTTGAGGACGCGGTGCCTCCTAATCATGTCCATCGGCCTCCTCAGACGTTTCGCGAGGTGCCCATTCTTGCTCCCGCCCCCCCCTGGGCGCCAAATCACAGCCGAGGGGGGTCGCGCGCGTTCCCACTTGCCCCGCCAGTGTGCTGAGGCGACCCACTAGGCGACGCGCAGCCACTTGATCCGGGGCAAAAGTTATCGGCTTGTCAGGGGCGAGGCTGGCTCCCAGCTCCTGAGTGAAGATTCGGTGCAAATCGACCGCAGCATCTCCGAGGGCTTTGAGGACATCTCCCTGCTGGCCATAGCATCTGACAGTGCCCCCATCAATGTGCGGCGAAAGAACCGCCCTCGGGCGGCGACGCACAAGGCCGTCAAAAAGCTGCGTCGCGCGCGCCTTCGGAGACATATCGTTGAAGCGAGATCCAGCTGGCAGGCCGCCGGCGGCATGCGAGCTGGCAGTGCTGTGGCCCGCCCCCAACCGCAGAATCTGCGGGCCGCCCCATAAATTAAACGCAACCGTGGCGATGATGAGCTCGAGCCCAGCATCCAGGGCCCTCCTCCTCAGCGTCGCGAGATCGAAACTTTAGTAGTACTTGGTGCCGCCCCAAGAGAAACCGGCCGCGACGCCCCCTTCTTCCACCTTGGCTTCCGCCTTGACCGCGTGGCCCCCGACGCATGCCTCCGCCGACTTGCCCGCCCCGAAAGCCCAGTGCTTACGAGGGTGTTGGTCAGAGGTGGCCGCGCGGTGGGGCCTCCTGAGTTGCCCCCGCAAACGAACGGGGGCAGCGCGCAAGAGGATGGGTCGCAGTCCTCCATGGGTTTTCTCGAGGAGGGGGAACAGCATCCAATGCAGTGCCCTGAGGTGCAGCCCCAACTTCTCGTAATCTGAGAAATGTACGCCAGGCTGTCCAACCCATCGTCGGTCAAGCGCGCGACCTGTCGCGCGAGCGCCCCGTCCAGGGAACGCGCTGCGCGCGGCGAGAAAACCCTGGCGGTCGAGCGGATGTCCTCCGCGCGCAGCCTAGCAAAACAGTTCCTATCGGGGGCCTCAACAGTCGGCAGCGTCGTGGTAGTATTCCAAAAACGCCCCAGGACGTCGGCCTCCAGGGCCAGTGACAAACGCGGATCGGACGTGAACGCCGTTGGGCTCCCACTTGTTCCTGAGACGGGTCAGTCGATGCATCTTGCGCGCAGAGCCTGCGAGGGCTTCTGCTTGCCATTGGTCCCACCCCTTGCTTTCCTTCCCGTCCAGCCCCCCCCTCGCCTCCGAAAAGTCCCCCCCCCGCTCCGCCAGCAGCTCGGCGAACTGGCCGACCCAGTCTGCAAGCCCAGCAAGGTGCACGGGCCACTTGGCCATCACCTGGCGGGCCTTCGTGACTGCGAGGTCCAGAACAAGCGAAATCCCTTCGGTGTCGAAGGGCAGGGAAACAATATCAAGCAAATGACGCGCAGCTTAGACTTCGGTCTGATCGACCATCGCGCTCATCTGCACCGCGATCCTCGCGATCCTCTGGTTCGTGCTAGGAAGATCCTTCGTATTCTATTGGAGCCAGACCCAACCGACCCAGACGCGCACCTCGCCCTCCTCCTTGCGCTGGGGAGGCTGGAGCACCGGCGCCCAGCGGGTAACGAGAGGCAAACCCTTTCTCCCTTTGCGCTTAATAGGGGCGTCCAGCCAACTTTCCAGTCCGAGCTCCATCGCATCCGAGAAAGCTTCCCAAGCTTCGTCCAGCGCGCCCCGCGCCGTGGCAACATCATGGGAGTTGGCGACGAGGTTGGCCTTCTCGGCAATCGCTCTGGGCAGCGTCCTATCTAAGGGCTCTGTCGAGGGCCCGCGGGGGAGGTCCGTGGGGGGCCTCTGGGGGCTGGTGTATACCAGCTGGTGCGACTTCGCAGCCCCTGGCCTGCGGTGCAGCTGAACTGGGCGATGGGTCCTCTCGGCCCAAGTCGTCGCGTCGGTAACTTGCTGCGCCGGCTTGCTGAAGGCCGCCGAGGCCAACCAAATAATCGATCGTGGCGTTGGCCTGCGGCGTCGCGCAGGTCCCCGCCGGGGGCTGTGGGATGAGCGTGCCCGCCTTGCGCGGCATGCCCGACATCTCCAAGCGCGCAATACCAAAGTTCCACTCAGCACCTAACAAAGCGAGATGTCTTCCCCCCATCCTGCCCAGCCTCGCTGAGTATGCGGCTGTTCCTCTGACTCGACCCCCCCCCAATGTGCGCGCGCACTGCCTGCGAGAAATGGTGGCCAGCCTGAGAGGCCAACCTCAGCAAACAAAAACAATGCGGCACAATGATGCCCATGGACACGTGCACCGGCCATCTCAATCCGATCGCGGTCCGCGCAGAGATCGCCACTCCAGCAGAGAAATGCCCATTCTCACAGGGTGCGGCAGGCGCGCGCAGCATATTCCAACCCGTGCTCTCGGCGGTGCCAACCGCGCCAGCGTGTCTCTCCTCGTCCACCCCAATCTCCTGCCCCAGCTGTTCCCGTTATAACATCCGAAGACATGCGCGACCGAATCACCTTCAGCGGGGGCGGCGGGAACTGGCGGGCGGCCTGCGCCATGGGCAGACATCTTGGAACCCGCGCAGCGAGGGGCAGGTGCAACGTGCACTGCCGTCGACTCCTCACCTTGCGGGTCGCAGAAACCGATCGTGCTGCCTGGCGGCGTGGCTCGCAGCCCGCCTGCGCTGGTGCTTCGCAAGTGCTGCAACAGAAAACAGACCGCCATCCTCTCGCGATGAGTGTGATCCAACGGCCGTCGCCGCGTCAGACTCACCTCGGACATTTTCCACACCGGCTTTGGGGTCTCATAGCATTGACCGCCGCGATACAGCTCGCCCCTGCCAGCGCACTCGAGCGATTTTTCATCGAAGCTGCGTCGTTCTAGGGCGCTCGACCTTGGCGGAGATGAGCGCGTCCAAGATCGCTCTTTTACCCCTTTTGGTGCTTCTCCCAGTGCTGATCAGCATCGGACATGTTGGCGAACGCATCGTCGAGGTCAGCGCCCATGGGCACAGGCATGTGCACGCGTCGCTGGTCTCCTGCGCCACTCGCCGCCGAAGACGCCGATCCTGCGTCAGGTGCACCGCCGCCATGGCGAGGCATCGCCTTGGCCTTCGCGGCCTACGTGCGGAACGAAAGAGCAAATTCTCTGAACGCCTCCGTGTCGAACTGGCCTGGATGAACGCCTTCCCGCCCAGCAGCTCCTTCGGCGCGCCGAGGTCGTCCAGCGCAGGCCCATCGTCGCCGCCTGCCAGCGGAGGGGAAGCCACCAGCTGCTTCTGCAACTCGTCGCAATCAGCCTCCGCCGCAATCCTCTTTGCGTCCAAATCTGCGCGATCCTTCTGCATCTGCTCCACAACCTTGTCGTGCTCCACCAGCTCGTCCTTGAGCTTCGCGAGCTTCGCTCTTGCCCGATTGAGCTTGTGCCCCACGTTATTGTGCTGCGTGAAGTCAGGCTTCTTACTCTCGATGCGCAGGCGCACCTCCTTGGGCTGCTGCTCCAGCAACTTCCTGGCGGGCGCCATATCCTCTCCCTTGCATGCGTTGACTGCCGCCTCGAGCTGGCTTGCCTCGGCTCATAGCGGGTCCTCGGCGGGCCCGTCAGCTGCCTGTCCACCTCCCTTGATTGCCTGAGCCCGTGGTGGCGACGCGGTGAGCTGCTCGAGCCTCTTGGTGAGTTCGGCCAGCTGCTTCTCCATGTGAACCTCCCGCTTGGACCCCACAGTTGGCAAACGCACGCCGCAACGACTGCTGCCGCCACCACCGCCGCCAGCAGCCTGATCCCCGAACGCCGGGGCCTTCCTGACCACCGAAGGCGGCGCCTTGGCTCCGCAGCGGCAGCGCAGGCGGCATGCCCAAGTGGACGTGGGCCTGCGCTGCTGGCAGCCTCAGAAAGGCTGCTTGGGTCTGCGGACCACACCTCCGTCCGTGGATGCCTTCGTGAGTGAGGCGGGAAACTAAGGAAACTGCGGTTTTTTTTTTAGCTCCCCCGAAACTGCACATGGAGCCAGAAATATAAGCCCGCGACAGCGACTGCCGCTCTGAATCCTGGTGTCGCAGGCCCAGAAGCGCCTGGGCCAGAACGGCTGGACATGGGCGCGCGCGGGCAAACAGAGAGAAAAACAACAGCAAGCAAAACACGGGGAGGAAGCGGGTGCGATCCTCGTGAAGGGCGTGCCGACATGGGCGTCGACATTTATGCACGTAGACTCACGCGCTCGCAGATGAACTCACAATCGGACCCACTCGAGCTCACACGCACCCGCTCTCAGTCTCTCGCAAGCAAACCTATCGACTTCGTTCGTGCCGTGTGCCCCGCCACGTATTTCGGCACGCCCCTCACGCAATCCGTGGCCCCATAGGGAACGCGGGCGAAGATGATATTCATAATTGTGCATATGGCTGGGAGAGGATCATTTCCAAACCATCCTGTGGTGTTGGGTCCTCGTTTTGAAGAGACAACGCCCCGTGTCACTCCTCCTCCTCCCCCTCCTCCTTCCTCCCTGCGTTTCACCCCAGTACAGCATTTGGTGGCCCCATAGGGAGCTCCACCGAAGGCCCCACTGCCACCGGCCGCGTGCGTCACACACACCCATGTCGGCACAACCCTCGCACGTTTCGTGGCCCCATAAATAGCTCCACCGAAGGCCACAATGTCACCGCCCGCATGCGTCACTCCCACCGATTTCGGCACATCCCTCACACGTTTCATGGCCCCAAAAAGTGTTCCACCGAAGGCCACGGTGTCACCGCCCGCATGCGTCACCCACACCCATTTCGGCACACCCATCACACGTTTCGTGGCCCCATAGGGAGCTCCACCGAGGGCCCCAGTGCCACCGGCCGCATGCGTCACCCACACCCATTTCGGACAATCTTCACACGTTTCGTGGCCCCATAGGGAGCTCCACCGAATGCGCCAGTGCCACCGCCCGCATGCGCCACCCACACCCATTTCGGACAACCTTCACACGTTTCGTGGCCCCATAGGGATCTCCACCGAAGGCGCCAGTGCCAGCGCCCGCATGCGTCACCCACACCCATGTCGGCACACCCCTCACACGTTTCGTGGCCCCATCAGGGGGGGGGCTCCACCGAAGGCCCGAGTGCCACCGCCCGCATGCGTCACCCACACCAATTTCGGCACCTCCCTCACATGTCTCGTGGCCCCAGAAATAGCTCCACCGAAGGCGCCAGTGCCAGCGCCCGCATGCGTCACCCACACCCATGTCGGCACACCCCTCATACGTTTCGTGGCCCCGGCCACAGTACCCCTCCCGCACGCGTCACCCACACCCATTTCGGCGCACCCCTCACACGTTTCGTGGCCCCACAGGGAGCTCCACCGAAGGCCCCAATGCCACCGCCCGCATGCGTCACCCACACCAATGTCGGCACACCCCTCATATGTCTCGTGGCCCCAGAAATAGCTCCACCGAAGGCGCCAGTGCCACCGCCCGCATGCGTCACCCACACCCATGTCGGCACACCCCTCACACGTTTCGTGGTCCCAAAAAGTGCTCCACCGAAGGCTTCAGTGCCACCGCCCGCATGCGCCACCCACACCCATGTCGGCACACCCCTCACACGTTTCGTGGCCCCATAGGGGGCTCCACCGAATGCGCCAGTGCCACCGCCCGCATGCGTCACCCACACCCATTTCGGACAACCCTCACACGTTTCGTGGCCCCATAGGGAGCCACACCGAAGGCGCCAGTGCCACCGCCCGCATGCGCCACCCACGCCCATTTCGGCACACCCGTCACACGTTTCGTGGCCCCATAGGGAGCTCCACCGAAGGCGCCAGTGCCAGCGCCCGCATGCGTCACCCGCACCCATTATGGCACACCCCTCACACGTTTCACGGCCCCGTAGGGAAATCAACCGACGGCTCCAGTGGCTGCGTTCGCATGCGCCCACCGCACCTATTTCGGCACACCCCTCACGGGTTTCGTAGCCCCATCGGGAATTCCACCGACGGCCCAAGTGGCTGCTTTCTCATGCGCCCACCAGACTTTTTTTTGCACACCGCTCACACGTTTCGTGGCCCTGTAGGGAACTCCTCCGAATGCGGTGCATACAACGACGGTGCTCACAACTGCATATGGTTGGGCCCTTCGGCAGGCTAGTTTCCGTTTTGTTGTTTTTCCTCCTGAATTTGTTTTTTTGTTAGACTTTCGCGTAGGACGAACGCTCGGCCAATGTGCACGTTCAATGGCGTCGTCATGCACACTCAAGCAGGATCCTGCAACCATACGGGTACTACGCCCCTGGAAGCGGACATTATTTGGCCCCGTAGGGCACTGAGGACACCAGCCGTATCCGAGGGCACGGTGCTGTGCGCGTGGTCTCGACCAAGCTCGTAAACAGGTCAGCAAGAATGTGAGTACCACCTGAGGTGACATGCTCTGACAATGACGCACCGCAATCCTCTACATGCTTTTGACACCGTTCGGCAAACCCCTCCTTGTGCATCGTAGCACTGCACCCAGTCGGAATGAACAGGTGGTGGACGAGGTCCCTCCCCACCCTGTGCCTGCCACTTCGGACACACGCACTCGACCTCTGCACTCCCTGACGAGATCAGGTACTATGTATGACCACGGAAGCTGACACGTGCTGTGGCACACAGCGGCGGCCTGATAGCATGGATGCTCAAACAAGTAAGCGAGCGACAACATGAGGAGGAGGAGGAGAAGGAGGAGGAGGAGGAGGAGGAGGAGGATGCGTTGGCGCGCGAAAGAACATGTCCAGTACTTTCAAGCCCTGATGTCGAACAGCGGGCGATGCTGGGCACCGCGCGTCGAAGTTGAGAGGTCGTTGTATCGCAGATGGCTCGGGTCGGCAGCGGCCTGACACTGAACATCAGCCCAGCACATCCTGCAAGGAACCAGTACCCTCGCGTGACGAATTTCGCAGCGGCGGCTGGCAGATCACTCCTCCTGCCCACGGACTCGGCCCGCCAAAACGTCACACAAGAGACCCACACCCAGGCTGGGCTGAACTGTGAACGCACAAGCAAACAACGGTCCTAGACTTAGGTCGGGCGTGTCCCCCTACAGGCGGATTTTGGACGAAACATAAGAAATACCCAAACAATATTCAAAACTGGTCAGCACTTTCTAGAAAAATCGTCCTCATACTATTTTTGGGCCATTTATGAATATTCTTCCTGTAGAGGGACACGCCCGACTTAAAACAACGGCCCAATACCCTGACGTCGAGGCACCGTGAAAAAGACGCCTCACGACGGGCCCTTGCGGATCCTGGGGGCCCTCGCGGCTCGCTCATGCTCGAGACATTCCGCGCGCAGGGATGGCGCCTCGGGAGCTCTGATAATAGTTTTGTCGCGGGTGTTGCTGCTGCTCGCATCCCTCCTCTTGCTCTCATGATCACTGCTCTTCTTCCGCGACGTTGCGATTTCCCACGACGCCGGACGTCGGGGACTATCAGCAGCGCCCTGTCCCGAGCGACCTGGGGAGGCCTCGGTGCAGGGGCGGCCACGGGCATCGGGGCGGGCTGCTGGAACTGAGGCTGCTGGTACATCATCGCCTTAGCGCGGGGCCGGGATGACCACTCCCCCTCTCTGGAAATTGTGCAGCAGGGCAGCGAGGAGCAGCACGAGAGGGAGGACGATGGGCTTGCAAGTGCGTTCAAGGCTCCACAGAAATCGAATCTGCACCCTTTCTCGTCCACCGAAGCGAAGATTCACATGTCAAGCGACCCGCGCTGGAGACAGCTGGAACAGTTGGCGCTCTGCAAGAGGGAATCCCGTGCTCCGCCGCCACGCGACCTTCCCCCGACGGCAGAAGGGAGCAGGGAGCTCGTCGGCAGACAGGAGGAAGGGGCTCCTGACGACCTCCAAATAGAGCTGCCCTCCACGACCAAGCCGCTGGCTCACTCCCCGAGTGGCCACGGATCCTCCCAAGGATGTTCACAAGAGGCAATCATGCTTTTCACACTGGATGATGCACACGAGGCGCTCCAAAAACGGCCTTGCCTTCGAGGATCAAAGGAGTTGTCATCTCTTCCTCGGCGGAAGGCAGCGGAAGGGCGGCGGAAGGTCGGCGGAATGACAACGAGGCCGCCTCCGCCGGCGGAAGCCATGTGCCCCCAAGAGATGGCAACATTTTTGGGTTCAGGGTTTCCGGAATCCGCCACATGATTTTGGCCTTCTCGCCGTCTCGCTTCAACGTGCATTCTGGGGCCTCAAGACGGCTCCGATGTGGCCCAATGCTGGCCCGAGAGGGTGCCCTCTAGCGCGCCCGTGGAGCGCCTAAGAAGCTCCAGAGGGGAAAGGATGATTACGATCCCCCTCTGTTTCTGATCTGTGGCCTCTAAGATGGCCCAAGAAGGCCCCCGAGGCCCTCTAAGAGGCTCCCAAGACAGCTACAAGAGGGCTTCAAAGGCCAGGGACTCCAGACGAGATGGCCCACGAGACCTGCCAATGGGGCTCCCATATCCAAAGGTCCGCGATGGCATTCATGGTTGACCCTTGGGCCTGCTGCCTACTCAAGCGGATCCCGATCTTTGGTTTGACGGCTGCCCACTGCGTGCTCTCCCACCTCTCTGATCCATGCATCTCGCCTGGGCATCCTTGCTGGATGGGCTGGCAAGGCTACGCGAAGCATCAAGAATTCCGAAAGATAACGAGAAGGACGATTGAGAAACTTTACCTCCCTCGTCAGGCCTGGCCAGAGCGGCTCACCGACCTCCACCGGCTCGCGCCCACTCCGTTCCACCGTCAAATGCGGCCGTGGCGGCCTCGTGCCCGTCGCAACCGCGGACCCAGGCCCAGAGGCTGGTGCCTCACTGGCTAGCCGCTGCCGGGCGCGGCCGCGCCTGCCCCGCCGGCTGCTCCCGACCGCTTCCGCTTCAAGTTGCGGCGCGAGCTCAGCACTTTTGCCCCGGTCGCTGGCCCCTCCAGCGCCCACGAGCAGCAGTGCGGCTGCAGGGACACTGGAACGTTGTCGGCCGCCATGCCAGCCATCATCACGCGCTGGCCGCGCACGCTGTTAGGCTCCCAGGACACGTCCCCACGCAATATGACGCCCACCTTGGCCAGCGTGTCGATGGATGGAGCGACACGTACCTCGACGTCTCCGACAGCGAAGTCGAAGGAGTGCACATAACCGATGCCGATGCATTCCGCCGCTTCCTGCGCGTCCTCTCGGCCCAGCACGGCTGGCAACTCCGTCACGCCCGTCTTGCCATCGGCCTCGGCGTCCTCGGCAGGTTGCAGTGGAGCCAGTGGGGCTTCGGCGCGGCAGAGCGCCACGACCGTCCCAGTGAACGCGGCCTCGACCTCGCCGGGCGCCAGGCATCCCCCGTGCACGAGCCCGAACCGCAGCCCGCGCAGCGGCAGGCGAACGCGGGGCACGCAGCGGAAGAAGGCGCGCGGCGTCAGGCTGGCTGGCGCTTTGCAGGGGTCCAGATCTGGCCTGAAGTGGCACGCGAGCCGCAGCCAGCGCAGCTCGACGGCCCCCAAGCTTGGAGCGCGCACCGCGCCACCCTGGCTGGCGCCTGCCAGGGAATCCACGTCCACGACCACCGAGGAGCGCGGCTCCTCGCTGGCGAGCGCCGCCTCGCCGAGCGCCAGCGCCAGCGGGCCGCACCTGGCCAACGCGGTGCGCCTTCGCCGCTGCAGCCCGGTGCCGTGGCCCTCCGCGGCCGCATCTCCCAATGGAGGAGCCTGCGACGAAGACGGACTTTGAATCCGTATGACGAGCTGTGCCTGAACGATGCCCAGCAGCACTTGTACCAGCTCGAGACCGAGTCCTGTCACCCACCCGTGGGAGTTCACGACCAGCGGCGGTACTGGGCTGCCGCTGTCCGAACACTCGCTCACGTACCGATCGAACGCGGCGCGCATGCACTTCACGTAGAGGACCGGGTGCGTTGCGGGCGACGTGCCGCCGGCGAAGAAGGAGCACAAGCACTCCTGCCAGCCCTGCTCGGAGTGCGGTGCCTGCAGCAGTGGCCTCCGCAGCCTGTACAGCGACACCAGCGTCGGCGGTCCCAGCTCGGGCTGCCCGAGGTCGGTCTCCAGGTAATAGACCTCCCCGAGTGCCCCGAGGAGGGAGTTGGCGAAGTACCTGCAGCATGCCGACTTCCCCACGCCCTTGGGCCCCGTGACGAGCAACACCGGGGGCCTGGCGCTCGTGGGCTGGGCTGCGAGCCCGGCAAACTGCTCCACGAGGCTGGGCCACGCGCGGTGCGCGCGGAGGCGCTGCCGCTCCAGCGGTGCCAGCAGCCTCTCGCGCACTGGCGCCGGGAGGCTGCCCGGAGGCTCCGGCCCCACGGCGCGCAGGCACAGGACGACCGGCCAGGAGCGGCTCTGCAAGAACTCCCGCACGTCGTCCGTCTCGGCCTCCTCGGCCTCCGCCGCGAGCTCCGCGGGCGCCCCCGCGGTGCCGCTCGGCCCCGCCGCGCGGAGGCGCGGCAGCGCAGACCAGGGCGGCGCCACGACGCGCTGGAACTCCGAGGACGGCCTGCACGAGGCTCCCCAGATCTCGACGGCTCCACGGATCACACGGAAATCGAGTCCTCCGCTCACCGTCAGCTCCTCGCCCCTGCGCAACGGCAGCAACCACTGCGCAGGTCCCGGCTGCTCCGCAGTCCTTGCCACCAGGCGCTTGATGATTCGCGTGGACCTCTGCTGGTTCTTGATGCTCCACTGTTTTTGCACCATCCCAGTGTGACCATGGACAGCTTGAGTCACAACAACGGCTGCGGACGGAAGAGGAGGAGGATCATAGCGGGCAGCGCATCAAACATCAGGCATCTGTTCCCCGGAGGAATAGTCGTGATCCCTGCTCCCCAATGTAAATAAATTCGGCGAGTGCGGGGGAAATGTGACGGGAAGCGTAAGAGTCACATCAACTGTGTGCCGCAAGGACCTCTTGATTTTATGCACACTTTGCTTCGTTTCGCTGGCTTCATGCGCGTGGCGCGCTTGTGCAATTCTGAAATGGGAACGGCAACCCGTAGAGGGCAGCCTAGACGCGAATGCATCAATTGAAAGACAACTCGATGCCAAGTTCGGCTTCTTTTTGCAAGCTGTGGGCGCGTAATACCGTCTCAGGTATAGCAAAATCCTTCGTCGACAATTGCAGGTCTAGGTGCATGGCGTAGGGGAGGTTCCACACGGAAAAAAGAAGAGGGGGCAACCATCGACAACCAGATGGTATGTCAAATCGTTGGCGATCGCGGGGGTCGGAATGAGGGCACGTTGTAATAAGATGTGGTATGGTACGCCTGTGATCAGGGAGAAAAGTATAGGGCATGGGACAACCATACCATACGAACCCGACAAAGACTGAGCACAGAGGCCCAGAAACTGCATTGGCATTTACGCTGAGGTCTAACTTCCCGAAACTCTGGCTTCCCTGAACTTTACAATGCCAACGCTGAACGCTGCAGACACATACAGTCGGGACGTTGACCTAAGGAACCCTAAATAAGGAACGAGGCCCCTTTTTCCCATCAGTGAAGGTTCGATTTCCCATCGGAAACCTGAGGAGAACCTAGGGCAAGCTGTGAAACAATCAAGGAACACGGAGCCCCTCCCCAACGAAGCGGGTTCCTTCTTCAGCGCCCCGACTGTAGCCACACCTGCACCGTATCCAAAGGATCTTGGACGATCTGGCCTGAAGGCCTCGGGATCTTCAACACTGGGGGCCCGTTACCCAGGCCACTACCTTGTAAATCCGAAAGGAATGCGACAAACAATCATTGATGTCCCATCGGTTTTTCAATGCCTTTGTGGCCCTCGACGTTTAGAGCTCCCGGCGCTTCAGGACGGCCCAGGAGGCCCCCAAGACCGCCCCAAGACGGCCTAAGAGGCCCCCGGGAGGGCCACAGCACGGCCCGACATGGCTCCAAGACGGCCCCAGAGGCGCCCGTGACGGCCCAAGAGGGCCCAAAGACAGCCCCAAGAACTGTCCAAGAGAACCGAAAATCCAAGTCCTCCGCCCCACGAGGACCCCAAGGAGGCCCCAAGAGGCGCCGAGAGGCCCCAAGAGACCCCCAAGAGGCCCCGAAGACGCCCCCAAAACGGCACCCAAGAAGCTCCAAAACGGCCCTCAAAAAGCCTGCGAGAGGCTTCCCGCGACATCCCAACGAACATCCTAGAGGCCTGTGACCCACAACCAGGGCAAGGTGACGGGATGGGCCGAAAGCCAATAGATCCGCCGCCCCCTGTTGGCTTGCCACAGGGGTGCCTGGAGTGCTGAATCCTATCCTCTTGGCTTTGGTTCTTTCTCCCAAAGCGGCCCGTCCCGCCAGCCCTGCGGAAGACCCGGTTGCAAAGGTTTTTCCTGCCCCAGCCCCAGCCGTCTCTAATATGGCCTACACGGCCTCCAAGACGGCTAAGATGGCCCGTAAGTTGGCCCAAGATGGTCTCCAAGACGGCCCGAGAGAGTCCCAGATAGCTCCAAGTCCGCCCGAGAAGTCTCCAGCATGGTCCAAGATGGCCTCACGATGGCCCAGGACGGCCCCCATGAGGTCTCCATGACAGCCCAAGAGGCCTCCAAGAGGTCCTCCAGGAAGGCCCGAAGAGGCCAACATCATTGAGTTTCCTGAGGTTTGTATGGTTTTTGGCATTTGCTTCTGTTCGGCCTTCCGACGGCCCGAGACGGCCCAAGAGCCCCCAAGGATCGCTCCAACATCGCCCACGAGGCCTCCAAGATGGCCCCAAAACGGTCCAAAAGGCGCGTAAGACGACCCCAGGAGGGCCCCAGGAGGGCCCAAAAGGCTCGAAGACGCCCAGGATGGCCTCCAAGACGGCCCTGATGCACCCCAGGAGGGTCCCAAGTCGGCCCAGCGAGGCCCTCAAGACGGCTTCCGACGGCGTCCGACTGGCCAGGAGGCCATCAAGATGGCCCAAGATGGCTCGAAGATGGCCCAAGACGGCCCAACAGGCCCCCACGAGGTCTTTACGACGGCCCCAGAGAGCCCTAAGATGGCCTCCAGGTACTCCTGCAGGACGGCCTTAGGTTTTTGAAGGACTCTGGCATTTGCTTCTTTTCGATCTTCCGACGGCCCAAGACGGCCCAAGAGCCCCCAAAGATCACCCTAAGATCGCCCACGAGGCCTCCAAGATGGCCCCAGAACGGCCCAAGAGGCCTCGAAGACGACTCCAAGAGGACCCCAAGACAGCCCAAGAGCCTCGAAGGCGCTTGATATTGCCTCCAAGACGGCCCGACGAAGCCCTCAAGACGGCTTCCGACGGCGTTAGACGGGCTAAGAATGCCCCAAACCGACCCCCAAAGGCCCCCAAGAGGCCCAAGAAGGCCCCCAAGATGCCTCCAAGATGCTCCCAGGAAACTCCCAGGAGGCCCAAGAGTCCCCCGAGGCTCCCAAGATGCCCCCTCCTCCTCCTCCTCCTCCTCCTCCTCCTCCTCCTCCTCCTCCTCCTCCTCCTCCTGATCGTCCCTGCCATGCTCCCCCAAGTGTTCCTCGAGCGGTTTCTACAACGGCTGGGGGAACACATGGCCCGATAGCTTGGCAGAGCTCTTGCCACAACGCTCGGCCACATGGGCGAGTCCAACAGGAATTGGGGAGGCGGTGATGATTCGCCGTAGGCGTCTTCGATCCGCCGCCGCCCCGCGTGGTCTTGCCACAGGGCCACAGGGGTGCTGGGCGTGCTGGATCCTAGACGGGGCGCTTCTTGTTTTTAAAACAATGGGCATTCCCTGGGGCTTCGGCCCGTCCAGCTGGCCACCCGACAGGACCCACAAGGCGCCCGGTTCTGACAACAAAATTCTCAAGACTGCTCAAGATGGCTTTCAAGACCGCCAAAATGGCCCAAGATGGCCTCCAAGACCCAAGATGCCTCCAAGATGGCCTCCAAGACGGCTAATATGGCCCCAAGATGCCTCCAAGACGGCCCAAGATGAATCCAAGACGTCCTCATATAGCCTCAAGATGGCCCAAGACGCCCCAAGAGGTTCCCAAGAGGCCTCCAAGACGGTCCCAGAGGCTTCCCAAGAGGTCCTCCAGGAAGGCCCGAAGATGCGCAAATCATTTAGTTAGTTTACTTAGGTGTTTGAAGAATGTTGGCGCTTGCTTCCTTTCGGTCTTCCAACGGTCCGAGACGGCCCAAGAGTCCCCGAGGATCGCCCCAGGATCGCCCAAGAGGCCTCCAAGATGGCCCCAGAACGACCCAGGAGGCCCCCAAGACGGCCCCCAGAGGGCCCCAAACGGCCCAAGAGGCGTCCAAGACGCCCTAGACGGCCTCCAAGACAGCCCTGGAGCACCTCAAGAGGGCCCCAAATCGTCCAAGAGAGGCTCTCAAGACGGCTTCCGACGGCGTCAGACGGGCCAGGAGGCCATCAAGACGGCCCCAAATGGCTCGAAGATGGCCGGCGACGGCCCAGAGGCTCCCAAGAGGTCTCCAAGACATCCCCAGAGGCCCCCAAGAGGGCCTCCAGGAAAGCCCGAAGAGGCCGATATTCCTTTGGTCTTTTTTCAGGACTTTGGCATTTGCTTCTTTTCGGTCTTCCGCCAGCCCGAGACGAGCCAAGAGCCCCCAAAGATCGCCCTAAGATCGCCCACGGAGCCTCCAAGATGGCCCCAGAAAGGCCCAAGAGGCCCCGACGGCCCCAAGAGGGCAAGAGGCCTCGAAGACGCCCCTGGCCTCCAAGACGGCCCTGGAGCACCCCACGAGGGCCCCAAGTCGGCCCAACGAGGCCCTCAAGACGGCTTCCGACGGCGTCAGACGGGCCAGGAAAACTCTAAGACTGCCAAAAAGGCTCCCGAGAAGCCCCCAAAGGCCCCCAAGATGACCACGGAGGCCCCCAAGATGCCTCCAAGAGGCTGCCAGAACGCTCCCAGGTGGCCCCAAGAGTCCCCCAGAGGCTCCCAAGATGCCCCTCCTCCTCCTCCTCCTCCTCCTGATCTTCCCCGCCATCCTCCCCCAAATGTTCCCCGAACGGTTTCTACAACGGCTGGGGGACCACATGACCCGATAGCTTGGCAGAGCTCTTGCCACAACGCTCGGCCACATGGGCGAGTCCAAAAGGAATTGGGGCGGCGGTGATTCGCCGTAGGCGTCTTCGATATCAATGAATGACTATGCAACCTGGATCCCATGTTTCTATAGAGGGGGAGTATAGGTGCGAGCAGCATGCTTCCACAGCTAGCGCCAAAACGCGGATGCCGCGTGACACCGAACACTCAATCAAACGACATTGGGATGAGGCCGGGGAGGCACGGCACAAACGAGACAATGATTGCACTTGAAAACAATTTTCTTCCTGCAGTCTGGAAGCCGTACGCCCCCTAAAAGCTGTGAGCGGCATTGGCCTAGAACCTCTATGGCACGATCTCCTGATGAACCGCGACCCTTTCAACAATACCCACACGACGTGATTTTCAAATAGGCGTTGGCGGGTTGCGGTGCAGTGGCAAATATTGAACGCGCAACCATTCACACACGCAAGCAGGACTAACAACAACCAAACACACACACATACATATTATATTATATTATATTATATTATATTATGTTATATTCTGTTATATTATATTATATTATATTATATTAGAATTTATTATATTATATTATATTATATTATATCATATCATATTATATTATATTATATTATATAATATTATATATATTATATTATTATTTATATTATATTATTATTATATATATATTATATTATATTATAATTATATTATATTATATTGCAGGATATGATATGATATGATATTATATCATATTATATTATATTATATTATATTATATTATATTATATTATATTATAGTATATTATAGTATATTATATTATATTATATTATATTATATTATATTATATTATACCATACTATATTGTATTGTCTTGTATTATATTATATTATGTTATATTATATTATATTATACTTATATATACACACGCACGCTTTTTGGGCAGGCACTCCCTTGCCAATGGTCACTACGCTCAGACGCTCCTCTAAACCCCCAGTAATGTTTCCGAGGACAGGCGCCGCGGCCCCAGGGACGCTGCGCCTCGTCCGACAGCATTCGGCCCGAATCAGGGAACCCCCAGCCGACCACGTCGGTGGGTTCCAAGGGCGGCCCCTGACCGCAAGCCGCCATCTCCCGAAACGATGGGAGGGACGCCGAGCTCAGGCACCACAGTGGGGTAACACAAGAACAAGCTACACAGGGTGGCTAGTGGGAGGGAACCTGAAGAGGCTACGTGTAACAGGACGGCGATCGGCGCACCCACCCCCCTCGTATGAACATACACATGCGTGTATACGGCCATACGCTTTTTGGGCAGGCGCTCCCTCGCCAGTGGTCACTACGCTCAGGCGCCCCTCTAAACCCCCAGTGACGTTTCCGAGGACAGGCACCGCGGCCCCAAGGACGCTGCGCCTCGTCCGAAAGCATTCGGTCCGAATCGGGGGGCCCCCAGCCGACCACGTCGGTGGGCCCCCAGGGCGATCCTTGACCGCAAGCCGCTCTCTCCTGAAACGCTGGAGGGGACGCCGAGTGTAGCCCAATTTCCCACTCATTGACCCAACGGGCCGCTCTTAAGCAACCCCCCCCCGTAGTTCCACACTACACCTTCCTGGCTGTGAGGCCGGATCCATCGCAGTTGTGAAACCCTCTCCCGCCGACCGTTCGGCCTCACCCTGTCACCTGCGCCCTCGCTCAGGGCGATCGGGACGTGGGTCAGAGGGTGGGTCGGGAAAAGACCGCCGCCTCTCGCCTGCGAGAGGACTCTGAGAGCTGGGGCGGGTGAGAAGACGGTCTCAATCTCTCGCTGCAACCTGAACCTTTTCAGGGCACCACCAACACCTGTGACCACGACGTCCCTGGCGCGACCCCCCCACAGCTGCGCCTCGCCAAGAGCGGGGGGGCCGCCCGAACGGCCCGCGACGGACCAGGACCCCCAGGAACGACGTGGCGAACCACAGGCCAACGTTAGCTTGCCCATGGGCGAGACAGGAAGCTGACCCCTGAGGCCAGACACGCGGGAAAAAGGGGGGGAAGGCCACCGCCTCTTCGCCTACAACCTGCACCCCGTTCAGGACTCCGCCAACACCTGCGACCACAGTGCCCCTGGGCCGACCCCCAAGCAGCTGCGCCAAGCCGAGAGCGAGGGGCCGCCGAATCGTCACGCGGCGGCCCAGGACCCCCACAGGGACGCTGTGGCACTCCACAGGCCAACGCTGGCTTGCCCATGGGGCGCATCAGGAAGAGGACCTTGAGAGGCGGGGCGGGTGAGAAGGAGGCACTGGAAAACAATGCGAGAGCTGTAACACCAGAAAGGAGGTGATACTGCACTAGGGCAGCTAGGAGAAAAACCGCAGGGACGGGAACCCCTGTCGGACGAAAGTTTTTGCGCGCCACCGCTGGACCCGCTCGCAGTCGGCCGGCGCGTCCTTGACACATGCACGGGCTGCGAGGCTGCTGGTCCAACGCCTGCGGGCCAAGGTGAGCTCAATCTTTTGGCCCGCCGTCGGCAGCTGTGACACCTGAACAGGCACTGGGGCCCGAGCCGCTCCACCACCCTGCGAGCTCTGCGAGCAGCTGCAGCAAGCGACCCCCCAGGTGCATCTGCTCACCCAGCGTCGGGGCGCCGCTGAGGCTGGCCTCCGCCTGGGCCCTGAGGTCCACCGACGCGCGCCCGTCACCGCCGAACTCGGGCGCGTCCGAGACCATGGCCGGGCCCTCGATCTCGCCTCGCAGCGAGGTCGCGGCCGTCGGCCTCACCAGCATGGCGGCCAGGAGCTCCTCGGGCATCGCCGCCGAGAGCCTCCCGTTGCCGCGCTGCGAACTCAGCCTCCGCACCTCGTCGAGCACGCTGAAGAGGGGCCCCTGGGACTCGATGGGGCCTAGCGGAGCACTCGAGTACCGCCACTGCGAACCGCCATGGCGTGGCCTCGAGCCTGAGGGGGTCAGGCACCGCGCGATCGCCACGCGCGACTTGGCCAGGGGCGCGCCCAGGCGGCTCGACTCGCCGTCGACGTCGGCCCCCATGCGCTCGACCACAAGCTGCCTGCAGTAAGCTTCCTCCGCCGAGCAGGCGACGCCAGCCCTGTCATAGCTGGCTCGCGCTCTCGCCTAATCTCCGCCAGCGAGCCCAGCAGGCGCCTGGCGCGCACGTCCTCCACGATCTCGGGCGCGTCGAAGTCGTCGGTGCGGACCTGCCACCACGCCGAGCTTCTTTCCTCTGCAGCGGCGGCGACGGGCCGCCGCGCGCCCATGCCCCGCGCCGCCTGCGGGGGCAGCCTTGCGCCTGGCGTCGGCGGCAGGCGGCGCGGCCGCCTGTGGATGGGCTGGGGCACTGCGACCGCCAGTGACCTGCCCATCGCGGTCACCGCCGCCGCGCGGTGCACCGCAGGCTCCTTCCGCTCGAAGAACGAGCCCGCCAGCGGGCGCCTCGTCGCCACGTGGTGGTACCATCCACGGGGGACACCCCACGCGAAGAAGGCCCCCCACGCGAAGAAGGCTCCCATCTTGTCGCCGCCTGACCACAGGAGCAGCTCCCCCTCGGGGGTGCACAGCGACGCCCAGCTCGTGTATCCAGCAAGCTCGCCCGCCACCCCCGCGAGGGGCTCGATGGGCGCGCTGCCAGGCACCATGTCCAGGGTGGGCCTCGCGACGCGGCTGGCCCTAGGCCTAGGCGTGCCCCTCCTCTCGCCAGCGAGCCCGTTCAGCAGAGCCTCGCCGTGGGCGCGGGCCCTCTCTTCGGCGCGAGGCACGGTGACGATCCCGAGGTCCGCGTGGTGCAGCGCCAGGGCCTCCCGCGCGAGCTGCGAGCCGTCGCTGGCCCGCGTCTTCAGGAGAGGGTCGGGCAGGCCTGCCTGGGCCATGGGCGCCAGCGCGGGGTCGGCCAGCCCGCGCGCCACCTCGTCGTCGACGAGGCCGATCGCGCGCAAGGTCGCCGCGTGCTCCCTCTGCAACAGGCCAGGGGCCAGTCCCGCGAGGAGGCAGGGGGGGCGCGCGTCCTCGGCTTCCCCCTGCAGCCCACCGACGAGGACGCGACCGCGTCGGCCCGAGAGGCGATGGCCACGGTTGCGAGATGCTGCTGGGCCAACTCCGCAGCCCGTGAGCGGACGCGCCGCGCGGCCGTCTCCTGCGCCCGCCTCGGCGTCGCCCCGAGTCGGAACGATTCTCGAGCGACCCCGCAGCACATGTGGTTGGGGCCCACCGCGCCAATGTAGGCCCACGCCTCAGCCGCGGCCGCCCTGGCCGCGGGTGCGAGCCGACACCGCCAGCTCCTGGCAGTCCGGGTCCGCCTCGCAACCTCTTCGAGGGGCGGGAGAGGCAGCGGCGGCAGGGCCCGAACTCGGGCCTTCGCACCACTCCTCTCGAATGGGAGCGCCTGCCCTGCGAGGCGACCCTGGGGGCCAAGATGCGGCTGCGCGAACCTCGCGAGCTTGCCGGCCAGGGCGACTCGCCGCGTGGGCCGGCCACGCTCGGCGGGCGATCTCCTGCGCCGCGTGGTCGTGCTCTCCCTCATCTCGACCAGCGGCAGCGGCCCAAGCAGCGCCACCTCAGCCCCGACCGCGCAACCCCCTGGCTCGGCCGTCTCGGCCAGGGCAGCGCCTAGCTCCAGCGGCGGCAGCGCGTCGCCCGCCCCCGCGCCATGATGCCGCCCCCCGCTGGCGGCGCTCGGTGCTGCTACACCTTTGCCGCTTCCGCCGCAGACAGGGGAAGTCTGGGCCGCGCCCGGCAACGGCGCCTCGGGCGGGGCGACGCTCAGCGCTTCTCCGTCCAGGGGCCGCGCGCCGCCGCCTGGGCAGGGGGGCCCTTCCACTTCAGCTCGGCGAAGACGCTCGCAAGGCGTGCCTGGCTCCCCGTGCCCGACTCGCCCTCGCCGCGGGGGCGGCGGCCCGCGCGCCCGCGCAGCCCCCCGGCTCTCCTCTGCGGCGCGGGGGGCCCTCGAGCCCGTCGCCTCGGCCAGCTCGTCCCCCGGCGCCGCCGGAGGCCGTGGCGGCGGGGCGGCCTGGTCTGCGCGGCTTGGCGGCGAGCTCGCCCAACCTGAGCTTGCCCGCCTGGGGGCCCCCGATCAGCTCCTCCTCCTCGCTCCGCAGCGCGGTGGGCTCGCCGCGCGGGGGGATGAGCTCCAGGCGCTTCGCTCCCGACCAGTTCCCGTCGGGGGGCGCGACTCGGAGCGCCTTGTTCCGCCGCGCGAGCAGGTCCGCGACCCCCGCCGCCCCCTGCGCCAGGAGGCCGAGCGCCTCGGCGAGCGCCCGCAGCTCGCGGCGCGCGGGCCCGCCGATCTCCCGCGCGGGGTGCTGTGGAAGGTGCGCCGTGGGAAACCGCCGCAGCACGAACGCGCCCCGCGGGTCGATGGCGCCCCCCCCCCCGCACCTGCGCGCCGTAGAGGCGCGCCGTCTGGGCCAAGCTCGCCTCGGTGGCGCGGGGGCCACCTTGCGGCACTGGGCCTGCCTGGGCACCAACCCGCGCGGGGTCAGAGATCCGCCCGTGCCCGTGGCGCCCTCCAAGCCCAGCTCCTCGCCGTTGCCCTGGCGCCCGTCCAGCAGCCGCGCGAGGGCGCTCATGGTCCTGTGCCGCGCGGGGGGCGTCCGCCGCGGCCGCCGCGCCCTCGGTCGGCCCCCGAGCGGGCGGGCCGCGCGCGCCCCCCTCGGTCGGCGGAGGTGCTGCTAGCAGCCTCGGCCCCCAGCGAGCGACCTTCGCGGCGCGTTCCGAAAGCGCATCTGCCAGGGGCCGCTTGACCACGGGCCTCGCCCTGGCCGTGGGTGCAGCGGGCCTGTGCGCCCAGGGTGGGGACGTGGGCTAGGTCCTCGTCGCCGCCCCCGTCGCGCCCGACCTCGGCCTCGGGTCGCCTCCGCCGTCGCGGCGAGGGCGGGAGCCAACGGCTCGCCGCCAGCGTCGCCTCCGTCACTCCCCCCGCCGCGCGCGCCGCCGCCGCAGGGGGGAGAGGGAGGCGCCCTCGGCGGCCTCCCCTCCCGCGGCGCGATACAGGTCGGGCTCGCCTGGTGTCGCCCGACCTCGCGTGCGCGCTGCCCTCGCAGGGCGCCCGAATGCGCCCTGGGCGCGGGGGCAGGCGGGGCTCTGCTGACGGCGCGGGGGCCGCCCGAATCCCCGTCAACCTCTGAACCTCAAGAGGCTACGTATAGCAGGACGGCGATCGGCGCCCCCCCCCCTCGTATGAACATGCACATGCGTGTATACGGCCATGTATATATAATCATATGTACTAGCGGAAACAACATGCAACGTGAACGCGCAAAAACACACACATGAACACCTCACTCGGATTCAGAATCCGGCTCACGCGCACATGCGCAAGACAAAAGCGCACCGTGCGTGCACGCATGCACAGCTTGTATACGAAGCAGTCAAGTGTAACACTTGTGCACAGCATGGAAGCCACAAATAGGGGTCCATCCTTTCAAGCCCGTTCTAACGACCAAGAGCGATACTCATATTGAAAATCGCCAGGGGAAAACAATCATGGTACGAGTAAGCCTTCGACGGCTGTCAAGCCAAACGAATCTTCGGGGTGGTGCCCGAATGCTACGCGCAGACAAGACCCAACTGACATGGGTCCAATGCCTTCAATCCTTCCGACCTGGAGAATTAAACCACATAAACTATTACGGCCGCAGAAGCCCAAAGAACAGATACCCAGATCCCCCTCAAATCTAATACAACTCAAACCTAGTGATCTGGCCGGCATCTTCATGTTCTCAGGCGTTGCTTGCAATCATCATTCGGTAGCTGTGGGATAGGATCATGTGATGTCCAGCGACGTCACGACTGAATGGCCACATTATCTACACCTTCGAAACGGCACTCGCCCTCAGCCCGAAACGCCATTACTCGAAGCAGGCTCTACACCAAAGACGAGCACTAGCTGCGAAAACATTTTCCAATGAGAAGGCCAACGTGCCAGCAAATCCGACATGCTATGCACATGCTCCTTGTCTCTGAACCATAGGCGTGCGACTGGCGAGCGTAAACACATGAGGACAACGCCATCAGGGCACGAATATTTTTTGACACGGAACTCACAACATCCAGCTGCCCTTTGTAGCTTACGAATTTGAACAAATACAAGCCCGTGCTCGCTCCGATTGGCCATGTGTCGCTTGTCTGGTATCTGGGCAACTGTGGTGAGCTTCGCATGCGCCCGAAAATGCCCAGTCGAATGCATCAAGGACCAATGCAATTCAAGGCACCTGCGGCATTTTCTGATTCAGGATTCGTGGGCCGTGTATTTTAAGCAATGGGGGTGCGTGCGACCAAGTTCAAGGCTTATGTCGGGCATGTCCCCCTACAGGCGGATTTTTGACGAAAAATAAATGATTCCCACGTCAGGACCCCACATGAGAATCTGTTTAGCTTGCCGGGGGATATCCTCATGCCCCCTCCGCCTACCTCATCCTGCCTCCTCCTTCTCCTCCTGCCTGCTGCAACTCCTGCCTCACCCCCTGCCTCCTCCTCCTCTTGTCTCCTCCTCTTCCTCTTCCTCCTCCTCTTTATGCCGCCTCCTCCTCTTTATGCCTCCTCCTCCTCCCATTCCCCATGTTGTTCCTGCCTGCTGCCTCCTCCTCCTCCTCCTCCTCCTCCTCCTCCTCCTCCTCCTCCTCCTCCTCCTCATCATCATCATCATCATCATCATCATCATCATCATCATCATCATCATCATCATCAGCGTTCCCTCTCCCTCTCCTCCTCCTCCTCCTCCTCTTCTCCCTCCTCCGCCTCCTCCTCGTCTCCATCTTCCTCCCCCTCCTCCTCCTCCCCCCTTTCCTCCTCCTATTGCCTCCTTTTCCTCCTCCTCCTCTTCCTCCTCCTCCTCCTCCTCCTCCTGCCTCCTCCTTGCGCCTCCTGCCTCCTCTTGAAGCCTCCTGGGGCCTCGTGGGGCCTCCTTGAGCCTTCTGGACCTCCCAGGACCTCCTGTGGCCTCCTAGGACACTCCTCCTCCTCCTCCTCCTCCTCCTCCTCCTCCTCCTCCTCCTCCTCCTCCTCGTCGTCCTTACCCCCCTCTGCCTCCTACTCTTCCTCCTTCTCTTTCTCGTCCTGCACCCTCCTTCCTCCTCCTCCGCTTCCTCCTCCTCCTCCTCCTCCTCGTCCTTCTCGTGCGGAACACGACCCATAACAAACGCGCCACGTGCGTCCCAGCGGCTACGCGCCAGAGGACGACCCAGAGGAAGCGCGCGCCGGAGGACGACCCGGTGAACGGGCTCCCGCCTGAGACGTCCTCGCGTTTCAGTCACAGACGAAGTTCCCGCCGGAAACTTCCTCCATATTCAGGCCTCAGGGGCCCAAAAATGACGATAGACGCAGGAAACCGATGCCCCGCCTAGGATTACTCATATAAACTGCGGGTCCCATAGGGAGGGGGGCTCCCGCCTTAGACTTCCTCGCAAGTCACTCACAAACGAGGCTCACGCGGATACTTCCTCCATATTCAGGCCTCAGGAGCCCAGAATGACGACAGTTGCAGGAGGCCGATGGCCCGCCGCAGGTTACTCATATGAGCTGCGGGCCCTATAGGGAGGGGGCTCCCGCCTGAGACTTCCTCTCAGTTCACTCACAGACGAGGCTCCCGCCTGCTACTTCCTGCCAGAGGCTCTCGTCGTACATATCTATTTTCAAAAAAAAAACCCGCGTTGCCAGAGGCTCAAGCAGTTGGCGAGGCCAGGAGCTCTCGCCGTCGACTGGGTCATAACCAACTGTGCGGCCAGAGGCTCGCACAGCTGACGAAGCCAGGGGCTCTCGTCGACTGAATGATAACCAACTGTGCGGCCAGAGGCTCGCGCAGCTGACGAGGCCAGAGGCTCTCGCCGGTGCTGGCTGGATCATACAGGAGTCGTACGCGGCCATACCTGACGAGGCCAAAGGTTCTCGCCTCGCTTAATGCGACGCCCGCAAAACCCAGCGCTGCCAGAGGCACGCGCAGATGTCGATGCCAGCGGCACTCGCGGGACCCCTGCTTTGGATCCGCAGCCAAGACGCTCCAGTAGTCCCCCGGGATGATCCGCTCGGATTACTCACGTGAGCTGCGGGCCTCATATGGGGGAGGGCTTCTGCCTGAAACGTCCTCGCAAATCACTCACAAACGAAGCCCCCGCCTGATACTTCCCCCATATTGAAGCCTCAGGAACCCAAAAGGCACGGCAACTACAGGTTCCCAACGACCTGCTCGGATTAAAAACATAATCTGCGGGGTCCGTAGGGAGGGGGCTCCCGCCTGAGAAGTCCTCGCAATTCACTCACAGACGAGGCTCCCGCCTGATACTTCTTCCACGTTCAAGCCTCAGGAACCCAAAAGTGACGACAATTACAATTTCCCGATGACCCGCTCGGATTAATAACATGAGCTGCGGGCGCCATAGGGAGGAGGCTCCCGCCTGAGACTTCCTCGCAATTCACTCATACGCGAAGTTCCTGCCGGATACTTCCTCCATAGTCAAATCCCTGGAACCCAACAGCGACGACAGTTACAGGTTTCCGATGACCTGCTCGGATTATGAACATGATCTGCGGGCCCCATAAAGAGGGGGCTCTCGCCTGAGACTTCCTCGCGATTCACTCAACGACGGAGCTCCCGCCTCACATTTCCTCCATTTTCAGGCCCCTGGAGCCCAACACTCGAGACAGTTACAGGTTTCCGATGACCCACTCTGATTAATAACATGAGCTGCGGGCACCAATAAGGAGGAGGCTCCCGCCTGAGACTTCCTCGCAATTCACTCACAGACAAAGCTCCCGCAGGATACTTCTCCCATATTCAAGCCTCGGGAACTCAAACGTGACGACAGCTACAGGTTTCCGATGACCTGCTCGGATTGTGAACATGATTTGGGGATCTTATAAAACAGGGGCTCTCGCCTGAGACTTCCTCGCGTTTCACTCACAGACGAGGTTCCCGCCAGATACTTCTTCCATATTCAGGCCTCAGGGACCCAAACAGGACGACAGATGCAGGAAGCCGATGACCCGCCTCGGATTACTCATCTAAGCTGCGGGACCCAAAGGGAGGGGCTCCCGCTTGAGACTTCTTCTCAAGTCACTCACAGACGAGGCTCCCGCCTGAGATGAGCGAGTGAGCGAATGAGTGAGTGAGTGAAGGAAGATGACGATGGTGATAATGATGATGATGACGATGGTGGTGATGATGATGATGATGGTGGTGGTGATGGTGATGAGAGTGTGAGTGAGTGAGTGGGCGGGTAGGTGGGTGAGTGCGTGGGCGAGTGCGTAAGTGAGTGATGATGATGAGTGTGTCTGGGTGTCTGAGTGGGTGCGTGAGTGGGTGGGTGTGTATATGTGTGTGAGTGTGCGAGTGGGTGAGGGAGTGGGTGGGTGAGTGAGTGTGAGTGATGATGTGTGTGAGTGATCGAGTGAATGAGTGTGCGATTAGAGAAGAGGAGAGGGTGCGTTCTCTTGTTCCCGCGCGGGGTGTCCAGAGAAAGCAAGGACCCCACTTTGGATGATGCGGGGGAACAAATTACACAAATATTCAAAAATGGTAAAACAAATACTTAACACTCGTCCCCAGTTTATATATATATATATATGTATGCATGTATGTATATATATATATATATATATATATATTGTATATTCCTCCTGTGCAGGGACGTGCCCGACTTAATTCAAGGCTGTGGAAGTTCAGTGCCACGAGGGCTCACGCCTTCTCGACTTGGAGCCCGCGAGGGCCTTACATGGCGTCGGCTGGCGGCCCTCGGTGCTCGGAGCGCACGGAGACGAAAGGCTTGCGGGACCCGGCCGGTGCTTCCTTGTGGCTTGGCTCCAGCTGACAGCGCTAGCAAGCAGGCACAAGTAATACCTTCTGACCAAATCACCATGGGCACACCTGGAATTATGTTGCCCCCATCGTGCTCAAGGACCACATTCCAGAAATAAGTTCGAGCACCCAGAAAAGTATCGAAACAGTGTCGAACGAGTCTCGCCTCCCAGGACCCGACACGTGAAAACCGTCCAACTTCGGTACTTTCTTGGTGCTCGGAATTCTCTCTGGTGATCAAGGCTAAAGCAGGTTGGGACATCATAAGCCTTGCATGCAATTGGGGCGAACTGGTGGCACCTGGCGGGCGGAACGCCCTAGGAAAAGCCCTGGGTAGGTCGAGGGCCACCGGTCCTGAGGTGTGGTTGCCCCCCTCCCCCCCCGCCTTCCTCTCCTCCCTCGCCTCCTCCTCGTCTCGTCCTCCGTCCCCGCAGCAGAACCAGACAGCACGTTGGCCAAATCATCTTCCAGTTGCCAGATTCCAGGGCCGACCGAGGCCCTTTCGTTCCTGTCACTGCTCTAGAGATCCACAGCGCGCTCGCCCGGTCGCTCCTGCAAAATGCAAAGCAAGGACCACGTCACCCTGGTGGGCAACACACAGTCCACAATCAACCAAGGACCCCCTGCACCGCCCGAAACTTGACGGTCGCGGGGCCCAGGGAAGGCACGAGAGCCCGAGTACGGTGAAAACCTCGAGGAACTTTTTCCTCCAAGACTCACATTCTTTGCCGCGAGGTCTTCAAAGACTTTGGCAAGTACCACTGCGCCCCCGCTGGCCTCGGGCCCGTCCCGCACACCCCTTGCCGTTCGCGGCTAGAATTTCAGACCTTGAGACTAAATTGCAAATCAGGCTCCTTGTCAACACAAACGGGCGCAAACACTCTGAGACCATAGATGACGAGCAGGGGTACGAGGATGATGATGATTGTGATGATGATGATGATGATGATGAGGAGGAGGAGGAGGAGGAGGAGGAGGAGGAGGAGGAGGAGGAGGAGGAGGGCGAAGACGAAGAGGAGAGAGGGAGGGGGACCAGGAGGGAAAGGAAGGAGGCATGAAGGGGCCCGAAGGAGCAGCGGAAGTGACAGGACGACTAGGAAGGGGAGGAGGAGGAGGAGGAGGAGGAGGAGGAGGAGGAGGAGGAGGAGGAGGAGGAGGAGGAGGAGGAGGAGGAGGAGGAGGAGGAGAGGAGGAGGAGGAGGAGGAGGAGGAGGAGGAGGAGGAGGAGGAGGAGGAGGAGGGGGGGGGGAGGGCGATGGTGACAAAACGTCGCCTGCTGCGCAGCCATCTGCTGCGCCGCAATCTGCTGCGCCATCACCTGCGGGAGAGGCCCTGGCAGCCCGGCTTCGACCCGTGACCCCGGAAGGCGCGTGCCAACGCTGCCGCGTGCTGATCCACCGGATAGCCCGAAGTATAAAGTTGTTTCTTTTGATGATGATGATTATTATTATTATTATTATTATTATTAGTATTATTATTATTATCATTATTATTATTATTATCAATATTATTATTATTATCATTATTATTATTATTATCATTATCATTATTATTATCATTATCATTATCATTATTATTATTATTATTAGCATTATTATTAGTATTATTATTATTAGTATTATTATTACTATTATTATGATTATTATTATTACATATATATACATATATATGTATATATATATATATGTATATATATATATATATATATATATACATCAAACAAATAGTGAAACATAGTAGAAAAATCTTCGCCACACGATTTCTGGCACATTTCTGAATTTTCCTCCTGTCAATGGACATGCCCGGCTTAGCACTACTTCCGCAGCCCACGGCAACTCCCATGGATCGTCGCTTGGGCCCGAAGGCCGCTCCCGGCTCCGATTCTGGGCCCCCTCCCCGCGCGCCCTCATATTCGTGAATCCTTCCAGAACGCAAGGTATTCGAGGTATTCCCTCCTCCTCCTCCTCCTCCCTCCCTCCCTCCCTCCCTCCCTCCCTCCCTCCCTCCCTCCCTCCCTCCTCTCTCCTCCTCCTCCTCCTCCTCCTCCTCCTCCTCATGGATCGTCGCTTGGGCTCGAAGGCCGCTCCTGGCTCCGCTTCCTGGGCCCCCTCCCCGCGCCCGCCCGGGGGACCGCGGCCCGGACCTCCGGCGTCCTCGGCAGGTCTGTACGGCGGCGGGCTGTCAGAGAGAGGAGGAGGAGGAGGAGGAGGAGGAGGAGGAGGAGGAGGAGGAGGAGGAGGAGGAGGAGGGAGGAGGAGGAGGAGGAGGAGGAGGAGGAGGGAGTGGAGTGGAGCAATCGGACGTAGTCCGTTCGGAACCCAGAGATGCCAGGGGGGCCATCCAGTTTTTCTCGGAGGGCCGTGGGGGGCGACATCCCACGGCCCACCGCGACAGGCCCCCCTGGCCTCACAATTTACTCGGAGGCAGCTCCCGCCGCGTAGGAACCGATCGCGGCTTCGGCTGCCGAAACGTGCAAAGCCTCTAGCACTGACTTGCTGGGACCCGATCTGGACGGGTGGAGGCCTCGCCTGATCCTGCTGAGGTTCTCGAGGCCTTTGCCAGTGGGTCCCAGGGCCCTGCGCTCTCCCACTTGGTGGGAGAGAGGGCACGGCAAAAGTAGGCTTTTAACCTGGTGCGTGGCCGTGTGGCCGCACTTAACACAGAAAAACAATTGCCACTTGGGGATGGTGGCCAAAGTGTGGGAGGGGTGGATCAACTTGCCACTGATCACGCGAGGACCCCTCGACCACAGCACCTCTCCACACGCCGCGAACTCGGGAAGGGGGCAAGGCGGCACACACTCTGTGGCGGCAGCTGGAATAACGTGGCAAGCGTCAACGATGATGAGGCAAACAGGGCATCTCCATTTGTCTGCACACCGCTCGAATTTGTGCTGAGAGGCCGCGACCGCGGTCTGCAACTGAGAGCGCGGGGCAGCCTCCTGGGTGGAATGCCTCTCTGGCCACTGTCCTCGGGGCTCTGAATTCTTGCCTATAGAACGTAAAATCAGTCGTGCCCTCTGTCGGACGATGGCTGCAATAGCGTCGTATTCATCGGTCCTGGGGACGGGCGGGAGGGCAAGGGTGGCCGACTTGTGGGCCGCGCTTCCCGCGAGCTCGTCGGCATGCTGGTTGCCGAGAGCCAGAAATTTTTGGAAACCGTGCAACGTGAGGGGATCGGCGTGAGATGGGGTCCAGAGCACCGACACAGAAGAGGAGCCGCCAGATCGATCTTGCACGAGGTGCCGAATTCTCAGCCAGAGATCAGCATTCTTATTCTTGCCTCTGAGGCTGCCAGGTCTGAGACATCTGCCATTCTGCCAGCCGCGCTGCAGGGCTAGGTGATCAGTGACAAACGTGAAATCCTGCTGGCACGTCTCCAGTGCCAGGCAAAACGCATGCAATTCGCCTCTAGGGACGGTCTGGCGGGGGCCTGGGAGGGGGGCGAGGAGGCCCGCGTGGAGGGTCCAGGAGGCCGAGGGAGGGTCCCATCGGAGGGCCGCGAGGCCAGAACCAACACGGCGTCGCCTGACGTCGTCGGAAAAGGCGCCGCCAGACCCGTCGCCAAAAAGAAACAACTCGCCCTCGGCGTTACGAGCTCCTTCCCACGACGGCAGACCCTCCCGCACCGCACCAACAAACTCCCACCCGTCCCTCCCAGTCAAAGGCTCGAACGCGGGCGTAGTGAGCGCGAGAGAGGGGATGCCGCGGAGCCACAGGGCAGGGTCAGCATTGGCCCCTGCCACGGCTCGCGGTAGTAACTTGTCACTGGCCTCAAACTCAGGTCCCACATTCGCCTCGCACTGCCACACTCGGTGAAACAAGGTTTCAGGAACTCCTGCGCTGCATCGGTCGCAGTTCTTGTCGATCTGGTAGCCCGCGTTGTGGAGGCGGTCTCTGGTCCATTGTCCACCACTGATGACGGTGTTGTTGAGGGCCCAGTCGCTGAAATCACCGTTTGCGAGGAGCCTCCTTTGTTCGATGCGGATGGTGACCATGTCCGCACCTCCAGCCAGTGTGTCACCATGATCATGCGTAGCGGCCTGAGTCCAGAGGAGCCTGTGCAAATCCTCGCTGAGGTCCTGCAATACTGTGTGTATGTCGGCGTCAAGGAGGTCGGGGTCATCGGCAGGGGGGAGGTTCCACTCCTCGATGTAGCCGTCCTTCGTGCGTCTCCACGTGGTAGCTGAGGTCGGCTCCCAGCTGGCCTCCAGCAGGGTCGCGATGGCCGCGCCAGTGGGCCCCTTGACCCTGCACCGCAGCTTGGGGCCTGCTGCGAGCAAGGTGGTCTTGATCCTTGGCCATGCTCTGGTGATCCTGGCGTGCGTGCTTGGGTGGCGTATCCAATGTTGAAGCCAAGCCTCGATGAATTCGATCCTTAGAGAAACTCCTGGGTCCATGCCGTCGAAGGTGGCACCGAGGAGGGAGGTGAGGCATCGGCCCGCTGCTGCTCCCGTGGCCGCAATGGCGGCCTGACGCCGCCATCGTAGTAGAGCGTGCCGAGCGAGGCCGTGCACCTGATGACCGAAAACTCCTTCGGGGAGAGCGCCAGTGCGCCACAGTCCTGCTGAGATTCGAGCCTGCTGCGCAGTGCTCCGTAGTCGGTGTATCTTGCGAAACCTAGCTGCGGCTGAGCTCTGTCGCTTCCTGGCTTTGGCTTGTACCCGTCGAGTAGCCGCAGCCGCGTCAACACCGAGGTCGACGGCCGTGGCGGTCGCAGTGACTGGAATGTCGTACTGCCGCAACTTCTTGGCTAGCGATTTGCGGACCTTGGGGGTGGAGCCGATGAGGACCGTCTTGTCAGAGATAGGCAGCTCGAACTCCTTTAGACCGTCGCAAAGCGTCTTGGCGGCACGGGGGAGGTGCTTCTGCAGTGTGCGTAGGACTCCTTCGACTCGAAGGGCGGTGTCGTCTACGAAGGTCCACATCTGGGCAAGCTCGGCCTGAACTTGGGCTTGCCGTAGAATAGGAAGTAACATGAGTCGTGCCAAGGTCGTGCCGTGCGGGGGGCCTGCGATGATGCCTTTGGAGGCGAAGATAGGCATACTCACCCACTGTCGACTGCGCAAGAATCTGGGCGCCAGGTATAGCTGTACTTCCAGTAGTAGAATGATGGGGGGAAAGCCGCAGTTGAGGCCGACCATAATGAGGTTGGCGAGCTTGATATTGTCGTAGAACTTCTGGATGTCTAATAGCAATGTGGCGGACTGCATGCCAAGCGCTGAGGCTGTCTCGTCTAACAAGGCCCTGTGTAGGGCGGCCTGGAGAGCTGAGGAACCTTTGATGGCTGTAGTCCAGAAGTCGTCCAGGCCTTGGGTCCAGGATGTAGATGCAGTCGATCCGATGCGAGACCAGAGTCTGGCCATGTGAGGTAGCATGCCGAGGACCCTGTCGCCTCCAGACTTCTTGGCTGCGAGGGCTGCAATCGTGCCTGAGATTTGTAGTGGCCAGATGCCTGCATGCTCAACTGCGTTGAGGATATCCGCATAGGCTTCGACTGCTGGTTGTGGTAGTCGATGGAGGTCGCGAGGTCCAAGGACGTCAACTCCATGTGCTTTACTGGGTGGCATGCGGCCGTGAAAGCGGTGTACGATCTCAGCTGTGATGGGCTCGAGTGGTTGGCGAGCGGCTGCTGCCTTGGCCTTTGACAGCGCCTGTAGGATGTCGTCGGGGGTCTCGGTGGCCTGCCATACTTGTTGCCATTGTTGCTTCTTGCTGTCCATGATAACGGTGGGGTCGGCGATGGTCTGGTTGGTCGTGTAGGCCTCGATGTGACGTACGGGCGCAGGCTTGACATGGGCGTGTAGTACTCCAGGGCGGTGTTTCCATTGCTTGGCGAGCCAAGCACCGTAAGCCCTCTTGGACTTAGCGAGGGCGGCGGAGAGCGCTCTGGAGGCCCAAGTCGCGGTAATAGTGACCAAGTCGTCGGTGTCCTCGTTGTCCAATTGCGGGGCCCAGACGAGTGCAAACCAGCGGAAAATGGTGTCCTCGTCCTGCTCGAACTGGAGGTCGTGAAAGTGAGTGTTGAAGTGGTCCGCGCGCTGCTGGATGATGGAGGCCTGCTGCTGCATGAGCGCTGCGTGCTTGGGCTTGTCGTGGAGCGCAGCGTAGCGCTTGATGAGGGTGAGCGCGATTGCCCGCCATTCCGACTGAGGGTCATGCACGTGTACGCGGCCTGGGGCGGCAGCCGTCTTTTTCCAAGACAATTGGTAGCCTTGGGCTCGGCCTGTGAATGCTGCGGCTTCCTTGGGGTCGATGTGGTGGTGGCTGATCATGGTGTTCTCGAGCGCCGTGGCCCATTTGGCGTACTTGAGGTTGA